GAAGAATCCTATTGGTATTTTAGTAGGGACTTCATTGAATCTGTAGATTGCTTTAGGTAGGATGGCCTTGACAATATTAGTTCTTCCTATCCATGAAAACAAGATTTATTTCCATTTATTGGTATCTTCTTTAATTTCTCTCATGAGTGTCTTGTAGTTTTCAGAGTATAGGTCTTTCACTTCCTTGGTTAGGTTTATTCCTAGGTATTTTGTTCTTTTTGATGCAGTTGTGAATGGAATTGTTTTCCTGATTCCTCTTTCTGATAGTTCATCATTAGTATATAGGAATGCAAGAGATTTCTGTGTATTAATTTTGTGTCCTGCAGCTTTGCTGAATTCAGATATTATATCTAGTAGTTTTGGAGTGAATTCTCTAGGGTTTTTTATGTACAATATCATGTCATCTGCAAACACTGGCAGTTTACGTTCTTCCTTACCAATCTGGATGCCTTTTATTTCTTTGTGTTGTCTGATTTCCATGGTGAGGACCTCCAGAACTATGTTGAGTACAAGTGGAGAGAGTGGGCATCCTTTGTTTTGTTCCTGATCTTAAAGGCTTTCAGCTTCTCGCTGTTAAGTATGTTTGTCATATATGGCCTTTATTATGTTGAGGTACTTGCCCTCTATACCCATTTTGTTGAGAGTTTTTATCATGAATGGATATTGAATTTTGTCAAATGCTTTTTCAGCATCTATGGAGATGATCATGTGGTTTTTGTCCTTTTTTTGTTGTTGTGCTGGATAATGGTGATGGGTTTTCTAATATTGTACCATCTTTGCATCCCTGGAATAAATCCTACTTAATCATGATGGATGATCTTTTTGATGTATTTTTGAATTTGGTTTGCTAATATTTTGTTGAGTATTTTTGCATCTATGTTCGTCAGGGATATCGGTCTGTAATTTTCTTTTTTTGTGGTGTTTTGCTTGGTTTTTTATTAGGGTGATGGTGGCCTCATAGAATGAGTTTGGAAGTATTCCCTCCTCTTGCACTTTTTGGAAAACTTTAAGGAGGATGGGTTTTAGGTGTTCACTAAATGTTTGATAAAATGTAGTGGTGAAGCCATCTGGTCCATGGGTTTTGTTCTTGGGTAGTTTTTTGATTACCGATTCAATTTCATTTCTGGTAATTGGTCTCTGCAGATTTTCTGTTTCTTTTTGGGTCAGCATTGGAAGGTTGTAGTTTTCTAGAAAGTTGTCCATTTCTTCTTATCTCAATTTGTTAGCATATAATTTTTCATAGTATTCTCCATTAATTCTTTGTATTTCTGTGGTGTCTATAGTGATTTTTTTCTTTCTCATTTTTCATTCTGTTTATGTGTATAGACTCTCTTTTTTTTTCATAAGTGTGCCTAGGGGTTTATCTATTTTGTGTATTTTCTCCAAGAACCAGCTCTTGCTTTCATTGATTCTTTCTATTTTATTCTTCTTGATTTTACCTATTTCTGCTCTAATGTTTATTATGTCCCTCCTCCTGCTGACTTTTGGCCTCATTTGTTCTTCTTTTTCCAGTTTCATTAATTGTGAGTTTAGACTGTGCGTGGATTGTTCTTCTTTCCTGAAGTAGGCCTGTATTGCAGTATAGTTCCCTCTTAGCATAGCCTTTGCTGCATCCCACAGATTTTGCAGTGTTGAATTATTATTGTCATTTGTCTCCATATATTTCTTGATCTTTGTGTTTATTTGGTAATTTTTCCATTCATTATTTAGGAGCATGTTGTTAGCCTCCATATGTTTGTGGGCTTTTCATTTTCTTTGTAAAATTTATTTTTAGTTTCAAACGTTTGTGGTCTGAGAAGGTGGTTGATACAATTACAGTCTTTTTGAATTTACTAATGCTCTTTTTGTGGCCTAGTATATGATCTATTCTGGAAAATGTTTTGTGTGCACTTGAGAAGAATGTGTCTCCTACTGCTTTTGGGTGTAGAGTTCTGTAGATGTCTGTTTTGTCCATCTGTTCTAATGTGTTGTTCAGTGCCTCTGTCTTGTTACTTATTTTATGTCTAGTTAATCTCTCCTTTGGAGTGAATGGTGTGTTGAAATCTTCTAGAATGAATGCATTGCATTCTATTTCCCCTTCTAATTTGGTTAGTATTTGTTTCACATATGTAGGTACTCCTGTATTTGGTGCACAGATATTTATAATTGTTATATCCTCTTGTTGGATTGACCTTTTTATTATTATGTAATGTCCTTATTTGTCTCTTGTGACTTTGTTTTAAAGTCTATTTTGTGTAATACAAGTACTGCAACACCTGCTTTTTTCTCCCTATTAGTTGCATGAAATATCTTTTTCCATCCCTTCACTTTCTGTTGTGTGTATTTTTTTGGGTTTGAAGTGAGTCTCTTGTAGGCAGCATATAGATAGATCTTGTTTTTTAATCCATTCAGTGACTCTGTGTCTTTTGATTGGTGCATTCAGACCATTTACATTTAGGGTGATTATTGATAGGTATGTGCTTATTGCCATTGCAGGCTGTAGATTCGTGGTTACCAAATGTTCAAGGGTAACTTCCTTACTATCTAAGAGTCTAACATAACTCACTTAGTATGGTGTTACAAACACAATCTAAAGGTTATTATTATTTTTCTCCCACTTTTTCTTCCTCCTCCATTCTTTATATATTAGGTATCATGTTCTGTACTCCTTGTCTATCCCTTTTTATTACCTCTGGTGACATCTACTTAACAGTAGTAACACTTCCATCTATAGCAGTCTCTCCAAAATACACTGTTGAGATGGTTTGTGGGAGCTAAATTCTCTCAGCGTTTGCTCTTCGGGAAATTGGTTAATCCCTCCAAATTTAAATGATAATCTTTCCAGATATAGTATTCTTGGTTCGAGGCCCTTCTGCTTCATTGCATTAAATATATCATGGCACTCACTTCTGGCCTGTGAGGTTTCTATTGAGAAGTCTGATGATAGATAGCCTGATGGTTTTTCTTTTGTATGTGATCTTTTTTCTCTCTCTGACTGCTTTTAATAGTCTGTCCTTATCCTTGATCTTTGCCTTTTTAATTATTATATGTCTTGGTGTTGTCTTCCTTGGGTCCCTTGTGTCGCAAGATCGGTGCAGCTCCATGGCCTGAGAGACTTATCTCCTTCCGCAGATTGGGGAAGTTTTCAGCAATTGCTTCCTCAAAGACACTTTCTATCCCTTTTTCTCTCTCTTCTTCTAATGGTACCCCTATAATACAGATATTTTTCCATTTGGATTGGTCACCTAGTTAGTTCACTCAGTATTTTTTCATTCCTAGAGAGCCATTTTTCTTTCTGTGCCTCAGCTTCTTTGTATTCCTTTTCCCTAATTTCTGTTTCTCTTATTGTCTCCTCCTCCAAATCTAATCTGCTTTTTAGTACCCTCCGTTGTGTTCCTCAACGATTGTATCTCTATCCTAAATTCATTCCTGAATTCTTGAACATTTTTCTGTACCTCCAGGATTCATGATTTTTATTTTGAAATCTCTTTCAGGAACATTTGGTAGTTCAGTCTCACTCGGTCCTTTTTCTGGTGTTGAGATTTTGCTTTGAACCAGTTTTCTGTGACGTTTCATATTCGTATGTGGCGCTTTTTAGTGTCCAGAGCTCTACTCTCCAGCTGCTCAGCCCCTGGAGCGATGTTGGGGGTCTCAGGGGAGTGGTGCTCATGCCTGGGGGGGGGAAGAGCTGTTTTCTGTTTCCCGGCTGCTATGCTTAGGTACTCTCAGAAGCAGTGTGCCAAACACACAGCTGTAAGCCTCTGTGCTTTGTGTCTGTAGCCTCCGTAGGCAGGGCTTCCCTCTTACTGGCCTGTCACCAAGGCTGGGGCTGCTGGTTTGCGAGCCAGGTGTGGACTAGCTGGGAGGTAGATACAGCAAGGTGTGCATATCATGGTGGTGGTGCCTTGGAGCTATGTAGCTCACCAGGGGGATGTTGCACCTGAAGATTGTTTAAGTTCCCAACCTGCTGGGCAGAGTGCACCTGGACAGTTTTGTCTACCTGTCCTTTCTCCTGAGCCATAAGCTCTGTGCAGTCCTTGCCCCTTTAGCAGCCCTCTTGCTTTCAGGAAGTCTCTCAGATTTCCTGTCCCCATCACCCGCATTGAATCCCTGTTTTCCACAAGTAGCTGGAATCTTTGTCTCTCCAGGTATTCCACTTGTGTTAGCTTTCCAACCCAACTAATCACCAGTGCAGCACGCAGTGTAGGTTGCTTCCCCCAGAGCAGGGCTCCTGGGCTAGGTGTTCAGCAGTCCCAGGCCTCCACTCCCTCCCTGCTTTGCCCCCCACCCTCCACCCCATGAGCTGGGGGTGGGGGACGGGCCTGGGTTCCACTGGGTCACGGCTTTGGTAGTTACCCTGTTTGGTGAGGTTCGTTTTTCAGGTATATGCAGTCTGGTGCAGCCTTCTTTCCTGTTGCTCTTTCAGGATTAGTTTTATTAATGATATTTTCCTATTACATGTGGTTTTAGGAGGAGGTCTTTGTCTCACCTCTCACACTGCCATCTTTAATCCCTTCCTAGCCTGGTTTTCAGTTTTTTTTTGAAATGAAGAATGAGATGTTAACAGATTTATCTTCAGGGATAACATTAGTTGAATCTTCACTAGTCAGGCACTAGACTTACAGTTTGGCTTGGAGATAATTTTTTTTTCACCCTGATGCTGTCTTACCATAGGGGGCATGTTGGGAAACCTCCCCTGAATGCTTTCTGTCTACTATGGAAATTTAAAAGTGGGTTGGCAAAGTCCTTGAGTAAAAATATGTGAGTTATTAGGCCTTACATGTGGTATTTTTGCCTGTGTTATTGGTGCTAGTAATTCTTTTTGCCTGTTTATAAAAGCAAACAATATTGTCATTTCTTTCTTTATTCTTTGTAATACTCTATAAACAGTTAATGGTATATAATCACTTTATAATTTGTATGTAAATGAATTTAGGATTTCAACTGAGACTGCTATAAAACATGTGAAATAAAGATACTAATTTTTTTTAATGTTTTAACTTTTATTATTTTTATTTCAGGTCCATTGCAAAAGAACTTGCAGACTGGCTTATAAGCAACAATGTGGTAGAGCATATATTTGGACCAAATTTACATATTGAGGTTAGTGGACAATTACATGATTGCTCTGCTCTTTAAGAGAGAAGAATAATTTTAAAAATTAATTGTAAGTTTTTATTTTCCAGATTATCAAACAGTGCCAGGTGATTTTGAATTTTTTGGCAGCAGAAGGACGACTGAGCACTCAGCATATTGACTGCATTTGGGCTGCAGCACAGGTAATATTAATAGCTCATATTTAGTAGGTGCTTTTGTATTATGTGTTTAAGTGCTTTTACTCTGCTATAAGGTGGGTTTTGTTATCATCCCCATTTTGTAGCTACAGAAACCAAGACATGGAGAAAGTTGGGAGTAAAATCTATGAAGTGTGGCTTCAGAGTCCATGTCTTTAGTACATACTGGTAAAACTGAAGGAAGTGATAGCCAGTCAGCTGGTTCTTTACAAAACCATTTTGGTTTATTAAGAGCTGCTTTCCTATTAATTTCATATGTTAACCATCCTTTCTTTCTTGAATGTTTTATTGTATTTTCTTTTTTTATTTAAATTCTTGAATAGGCATATACCCACATGGTTCAAAATCCAGCAAGTAAATATAAAAGGACATGTTATACATTTTCCCCCTCCTTTCCTGTATCCTAGGTTTGCTGTTCTTAATCTCTCAGATTTATCATAGATTTACTATATGAAAAGCTAATTTTAAATATTTTTATTCACTTGTCCTTTTTTTCCACACATCTCATACTAAATAGACTTAGCTTTTTTTCACTTAACAACTTCTCCCAGAGATTATTGCATGTGTCAATATATAAAACACTTTTAAAGTTGCACAGTATGCCAGTATAAATGTACCATAATTTATTTAACCCATTCTCATTCATAGTTATTATGACTATTATTTTTCCCCCAATCTTTTCTAAAGACATCTTCTGTAAACAATGTCATTTCACCCATGTGCAAAATTGTTGTGTAGGATAAATTCCTACTTATAAATAGAATTGTTAGAGTACAGTATCCATGTGGTTTACTTGTACATAATGGGTGTGATATGCCACTTTTCCCTTATCGTCCCTGATACAGGGTGTCCTTAAGAATCTTGATATTTGCTAACTTGATTGGTGAAAAGTGATAATGTTTTAAATTTGCATTTTGTTTATCTGACTCAGGTTGCAAATCTTGTGTTTAAAAGCCATTTTAGTTTGCTTTTTTTGGGAATGTCTGTTTATGTTCTTTGCATTTATCAGTTGCTTTAAAGAGATCTTTATATATCAATGAAATTGGACTTCTGTTTGTTTTATAAGTTATAGGTCTATTCTACATTGATGTCTTCTCCTTTGCTTCTTTTGCTCTTCAGCTTCAAGTTTATAGTTTCAAACTTGTGACTGAATTTTTTTTATGGCCTGTGGATTTTGCTAATGGTTTGAAATGGCTTCTCCATTATAAAATTATAAGAAAATTACCCTTTAGTTCCTGTATGTTTTCTGTTTCAATTTTATATTTTAATCTTTGATCCCAATGGAATTTTTCTTGATTCAAAGTTTCCCACAGGTATATAATTCCCTCACCCCCTCACCCCATTTTTGTTCTGTAGTTGACTCTGGTCCATTTGTTGAGTAGCTCTTCTTTCCTCACTGATTTGAGACACTGCATCAGTTATTTAAGCTGGGTCAATTTCTGGACTTCTTGAAGTGACCAATTGATACATTTAGTTAGGGATAGGTAAACTTACGCTGAAAATCCAAGAACATCAAATACAACTGGCCACTTCATTTTGTAAATGGAATTCTTGTGCAGCATAGCCTTGCCCATCCTTTTACATATTGCCTGTGGCTATTTTCGTACTATAGTGGCAGAGTATGGTACTTGTAACAGAGACCTTACCACCTGGATTCTTAAAATATTTATTGTCTGGCCTATCAGGAAAGGGTTTATACTGTCTTTACTTTCTTTCCATGTGTCTTTCTAATGTTTTTAAATGCCTGGCAGGTCAGGTTCTTCCTCCTGTATTTTTTAGAGAATTTTTCTGTCTCACTAATTTTTCCATGGAAGTTTTAATATTGACTTATTCTTCAAAAATATTGTTGTTTTATTATAATGATTAATTTGAGAATTGAAGTTCCATCTTCCTATTTACAACATGTTTTCTTTTGTATCATTAAGCATTTCAAAGTTATTTGTATATAAATTTTATTCCATGTTATGCTTATTCTTAGGAATTTTGGCTATGTATTAATAGCTATTATAATAGCCATTTTCCCATTATTACCTATTTTCATACATTTTCTACTTTTTTCTATTATAGTTAATGATTATCACGTAAATACATAAAGTATATATATATAAGCATCTTCAAATTTTTTATTGTTATGTATGCTTTGATACCTTACTCAGTTCTTAGATTGGTTGTCATAAATTTTCAGTACCTTTAAAACAATTTCCTGTATTTAATATTATATCTTTATATATCACTATCATTTTAACAAATTAAGGAAGCAATTCTTGTTTCAGAGTAAAGGGAACTTTTCTTACTCTTAGATTTTTTTATTTTATTTTGTCCACAGAAAGACAAGTAAAATATGAGAACAATTATGTTAATTAATACAGATAAAACTAGTAATAGTGAAACATTACTCTTTATCTAAACTGAAACTTACCAGATTTACAGTTGATTTTATTATCTGTTAAAACTTGTAGCTCTTTATCATAGCAAAAATTTGAAGTAACCTAATGAAGTGATTTAAAAATAGTGGCATAATCTGTGATACAGTTGGCAATAACAAATTATTCATACAAGATTGTTTAACAAAATCAGTATTTTAAGGGTTATTTTAATTGGCTGTTTCTGTGGTTTGTTACTACTACTTCAGTTTTGAGTTTACCACAGATTTGGAATGATCAGAAATTTTTACATTTTGAGTGTTTTTAATTTGAGTACCAAATACAATCGAGTTCAAAGTCTCCAGGGTTGGTTGATTTCATACAGAGTCCTGCCTGAGTTTTTTTTTTTCTTCTTTATGGAGTATCTTTTTGAGGTCACTTTGCTCACTTGAAATACTCACACAGATGATTCACCTAGTAGTAATTGGATTTGGTGCTGTTATTTGCACTGTTTACATCACAGTGCTCACTCTGGAATCCAAGAAGAAAATAGATGAAAATGACAGAGATGACAAATGGGAAACTGATAGAAAAGGAAGAGTGTTTATAAATATTTGAAAAATGCTTTCCTTTGTTTATAATTAAATGTAAGTTCAAATAACATAACAGAATTTTAATGTGTTTATTTGCATAATGTTTAATAATACGCAAAGTGATCAGAGTATGGTATAAACTTTCTGGTGACCAATACAGCAATTTCTGTTAATTTACCCTGTAAATGCATGAATATGAAGATGTTCACTATAGCATTGACTGTACTAGCTGACCAGGAATATCAGTTACTTAAAGATTAAGTAAGTTTTGGGAAATCCATGTAATAGGATGCTCTGTAGCCATGAGAAAGACTGGAGTTGCTGTATTAGATTCATGTGGAACAATATCTAAGAAATATTTTTATTAAATACCATGTAGGTTAATAGATCTTGTATTAAGAGAAAATGCAAGCACATAGTGTATTCTCCCATTGTGTGCTGAAAAACTACAAAAAGAGAATGCATACACAGGCTGTCTCTCTACTTGTGAGTGCCTGGAACTGTTTTGGAAAAATACACTAAGTTTTAACAGGTTTGCTTTTGGGATAGTGGGAGACTTCTTTTTTATTGTCTATGCTTATGTAAACTTTGAAATTTTTACATCTGTGTATTTTTCGGTAAATATAAAAACTAGTATATAAAGTTACAATAAATATTTTGACATTTAAATAACTACTATTTAAGGTTATGTACTCTTCTGGTTTGATTTTGTTATCCTCTCAGCATTTTTCTCTCCACACTCATCCACTGTAAATCTTTCAGTCACAGGATGTCAAAAAAATAAACTTCAGCCTCTTTCCACTCTATTGGAATTCAGTTTTAAATGCTTTCCAAATTTGAAGAACTTTTGCATAAATGAATGTAACTCATTGAGATAATAATTTTATCTTAATCTGGCACTAATAGCTTTTTTTGGATAGATGTTCATGTCTCAATGACAGAAGTCAAATACCCTCGGATTCAGAAGGGACTTATGTCATCTGATTGAGATGTGCATTTGCTGTTGTGTGGAGTGTTTGCTATATGTCTGTTAAGTCTGATTGGTTTATTGTGCTGCACAAGTTTGCTGTTTCCTTACTTCTGTCTAGTTTTTCTGTCCATTATTTAAAGTGGGGTATTGACATCTACAGCTATTATTCAGAACTTTCTATTACTCCCTTCAGTTCTGTCAACTTTTGCTTCATAATGGTTCTAATTGTTATATCTTCTTTCTGTATTGAAACTTTTATTAATAAATGGTTTCACTTTGTTAACCTTTCTTTAAAAATTTTAACTGTGGGAGGGTAAAAAACCCACATAAAACTTAGCCTCTGATACCCATACTGTTCTATAAAAGATGTCCACAATCTTTTTTCATCTTCCAAAACTGGAAGTTTATACCCATTGAGCAACTACTATGTACTTCTTCCTCACAATTCCTGGTAGCCACCATTTCCATCATTTTGACTGCTCTATAGATCTCATAATAGAGGAATCATATATTTGTCCTTTGGGGACTGGCTTATTTCACTGCACATAATTTCCTCAAGATTCACCTGTTTTGTAGCACGTGACAAGATTTCCTTTCTTGTAAGGCTGAATTACATCCCACTGAATGTTTATACAACCTTGTGTTTATACATTAGTCAGTGGACGTTTGCTCTGCTTCCATTCTTGACTGCTGCAAATAATGCTACAATGAACTTGAGTGGACAAATATTTCTTTCAAATCTCACTTTTAATTCTTTTGGATATATACTCAGGATTGGGATTGTTGGATCATATGGTAATTCTATTTTTTCCAGCAACCTTTTCAAAATCTAAAGTCTTACTTGATTTTATTATGGTCAGCTCACTTCTCTTTTGCTTATTGCTTGGAATATCCTTTTCCACACTTTCACTTTTAACTTATTTGTGTCTAGATTTAAAATGAGTTTTTTCTGGACAGCATATAAGATTGTATTAATGTTTTTTTTTTAAGCCATTCTGCAAATCTGCAACTTTTCTTTGGAAAGTTCAAAACATTTATATTTAAAGTAATTACCCTAAGATTTCGACCATGTTTTTTATGTCGTGGAGTGTTTTTCCCCCATTATTTCCTTCATTACTGCTTCCTTTTTTGTTTTTCTTGGTAGTAAAATATGTTGATTCCCTTCCCATTTCTTTTTTGTATATTCTATAGATATTATGTGTTTAACATGGGAATTACATTTAACATCTTAAGGCTCTAAAAATGTAATTTGAATTTCTGCCAACTTAAATAGCATACCAAAACTATGCTCCAATACAGCTGTATTCCCCTTATTTTTGTTGATGTTATTATAAATTGCAACTTGACATGTGTGTGCCCAGTTACGTAGATTAATAATTCTTCCTGCATTTGTCTTTAAATCATGAAGCAAATAAAAGGTGGGATTGTGGAATTGCAAATGAAAACTACAGTAATACTTGCTTTTATAGTTACCTATGCATTTACCTTTATCAGAGATCTTAATTTCTTCCCTACTGTGTAGTTTCCTTTCATTTTGTTCAGAAGGACTTCTTTAGTATTTCTTGCAGGGAAGATCTAGTTGTAGTGAACATGTTCAACTGTTGTCCGGAAATGCGTTAATTTCTCCCTTTTGGGACAGTTTTGCCAATGAAGAATTACTGGTTGAAAGTTTTTTCTTTCACTCTTTGAATATATTGACCTTTCTGGTTTCCAAGGTTTCTGACAGCAAATTGACCGATAATCGTATTGAGTATCCTTTGTATGTAGTGAGTAACTCATTTTTTTCTGCTTTCAGGATTATTTTAGTGTCTTTGGCTTTTGTTCATTTGATTATAATATGGCTTGGAGTGGATCTCTTTGACTTTATCTTACTTAGGAGTTGGTAGAACTTCTTGACAGTGTAGATTATGTCCATCATCAAATTGGGACTTTTTAGTCATTGTTGCTTCAAATATACTGTGTGTCTCTTTCTCTCTTTCTGGAATTTCCCCAGTGAATGTGTCGATACCTTTGATGGTGTCCTAACAGGTCCCTTAGAAGCTATCACTTCAGTTCATTCTTTTTTCTTTTTCTGTTTCTTATAATCAGTAATTTTAATTATCCTATTTTCAAGTTTGCTGATGTTTCTGCTTGCTCAGATCTGCTTTTGACCCCTGTAATACTGCTTTTGACCCCTGTAATAGAGTTCTCATTTCAGTTATTTTATTTTCAGCTTTTGAAATTCTTTATAGCTCCTTTTCATAATTTTGTCTCTTTAATGATATTCTCATTTTAGAGAATTCTCATCAGGCACCACTCTTTCATCCTTTGTTTCCCTTAGGTCTTTGAACATCCTTAAGGTTGGTGTTTTAAGATCTTTGTCTGGTGAGTCTGCCTGGTGGGCTTCCTTTGGTATATTTGTTTTGCTGAAATTTTTTTGTATTTTGTGGGGTTTTGTTTGTTTGTCTTCTTTCTTGTTTGGATTGTTGTAGGGTGTTTCGGTGCTGGGGATCAGCCTAATGTGAAAGCTTTTGGTCTTCTCAGGTATTTTCTGAGCCTGTGCCTTTTCCTGGGAATGTGCAGTGCCTATTTAACTTCCCCTACACACATCTGTTATTCAGTGTCCAGAAAAACCTGGTTGGCTGTTTAAATCTGTGAGTAGTCAATAGAGATGATTTGGGTTGACACAGTGGCAGCCAGTCTTCTGTGCCTGTACCTTACCAGTCAGATGTAGCAGTCCATACAGAACACAGAACAAGATCTTTATTGCCCAGCCTGGCTCCAGCAAGCAGTACCAGAATTACATAACAGTGTCCCCACAGCTGCCTACCACAGGGTCAGGGAGTGGGGAATGGGTAGCTGCTATCATACTGAAGGCTAAATTTGGCTGGTAATACAGCAGTTTATCAGCCAAGCTTCCCCTTGGAAGTGCGGGGATACAAGAGTTCATATTGAGCCTAGAGTTTCAAAATAGTTACATCAGACAATTTCTGCCACTACAATTGCTCTCTAGGTACAGAGATGGATTCCTGGTACTTCCTACTTTGCTGCCTTCCTGACGTCCTTTTTCTCTTTTTTGACAACTAGTGAAGAGAAGGTCTGAACCAGCTCCACACTGCCATCTTTATGAGGAACTCAAGCCATGCAGTCTTTTTTTTTTTTATTAAGGTATCATTGATATACAATCTTACAAAGGTTTTACATGAGCAACATTGTGGTTACTACATTCACCCACATTATCAAGTCCCCCCCCACACCCCATTGCAGTCACTGCCCATCAGTGTAGTAAGATGCTGTAGAGTCTTTACTTGTCTTCTCTGTGCTTTCTTCCCTGTGAACCCCCTACATGATATGTGCTAATCATAATACTCCTTAATCCTCTTCTCCCTCCTTCCCCACCTATCTGCCCCACCCCCTTCCCTTTGGTAGCAACTAGTCCCGTCTTGGAGTCTGTGAGTCTGCTGCTGTTTTGTTCCTTCAGTTTTGCTTTGTTGATATACTCAACAAATGGGTGAAATCATTTGGTACTTGTCTTTCTCCACATGCCTTATTTCACTGAATGTAATACCCTCTAGCTCCATCCATGTTGTTGTAAATGGTAGGATTTGTTTTCTTTCTATCAAGCAATTCAGTCTTAATAATTTTTTTTTTCCCTGTACTGTATGAATTTGCTTTAATCTGGGCACATCTAAAAGAGCCTCTTTTTGCTTCAGTTACAGGATTACTGATATCTCTCGAGGGTTTGCCACTTACAGATAACTGATTAGATATTTGATTATGAAAATTAAATCTGTTAATGAAATTCCAGCAAGTCAAATTTATTATGTGCTATGTTTTTATTACATTTAGTTAGGAAAAGTATAATCTAATTGTTGGTAAAAAGCAAGCATAAACTTACAGTCTAGTTATAATGTTAATTAATGCTGTATTAAAATTAACATTCTTGGTTAAGACTTATAAATGCAGTAAGCTTGTAGTGAATGATTCACTTCTATATCAAATGATATTTTTGGTGTTGATGTACTGCAGTTTTTTTTTTTAATGGATAGCTAGTAGTGTTGAAATAAAAGTGTAGCTTGTAAGAAGTCACCCTGACAAGAGGAATTCTTTGAAAGTTATTACTTTTATTTTACCTTCTGTGTCAAAATCAGGTTGTGCATATTTTCTCTGATAGGGGATACAGTGTAATAGAGAGGTTCATGTGATTTATGCCTGAGAAAGTCCAGTCAGTGTTTTGGAATAGAAAAATCTGCATTTTCAAATAGACTTTTTATGTATTGAAGATAATAGGATACCTTAGCTTTTTATGTGTGGAGCCCTAAAATTGGGAATTACTGTCTAGTCATATTTGTTTTTGTGTTTTTTATTTAATAGCAGCTTTATGGCTGTAAAAAAACATGTACTTTACATGACATTGTAATATTTAGTATTCCTATCTTTGTAAATGTCCTTTCCCTCATACATACCTAGTTCTGTTTAGTTTAACAAAGGAGGCATCCTGTTTCCTGGTTATTATTATGTAGACCTCTATTGCAAGGAAATTTCTGTTGTGTACTCTAGCAAAATGAATGTGTTTCATACATACCTTATAACCGTTTAATATGAGAACTGTTACACACTTAAAATAATATTTGATTTGGTTTTCTCCCCTGCTTGTGATTTCATTTTATTTGTAATTGCTTATGTCTAAGTTGAATAATTAACTTGTTTTTGCATTAATCATATGTACAAAAATTTAATTGGAATCCTCTTCATACTTAGATTACAGAAATTGCATTTATTGTGGGTTTCCTTCTTATGGCTAGAAATCAGACTTATGGTGTGTTCAGATAGGTTAAAGTTCTGCTTATGTGGAATTTTATTTTCATAATTTTATGCACTGCCATTTATGATTTTGGTAATTAGCATTTACCAATATATTAAAAAATAATAGTGTACTGGCCACTTTTAAAAGTATGTAGTTTTTTGATGTCTGTTATTTATGTACTATAATTATTTTTTACTATTGTCTACCTTTATTTTCTAGTTGAAACATTGTAGTCGGTATATACATGATTTATTTCCTTCACTTATCAAGAATTTGGATCCAGTACCACTTAGACATCTCCTTAATTTGGTTTCAGCTCTTGAGCCAAGTGTCCATACTGAACAGGTAACTCATTCAAAACATAATGGTAGGGTTTGTTTTTGTAAAGTGAAAACTTATTTCTGATTCAGATAATTGAAGTTGTAGTTTATTACTACTGGCATCTCAGTTAGGCAAAATAATATTAAACTTGTTATGATGTTGCCTACAACCTCTAATTTCAACCTTTTTTTTTTTTTAAGACATTGTACTTGGCATCAATGTTAATTAAAGCATTATGGAATAATGCACTGGCAGCTAAAGCTCAGCTATCAAAACAGAGTTCTTTTGCATCTTTATTAAATACTAATCTTCCCATTGGAAATAAGAAAGGTTGGTAAAATACAATGTGCTTTTTGGAGAAAGTTGTCCAAAGTTTGTAACTTAAATTTGAAGTTCATTCTGCTAAGTTTAGTTCAATATTAATTTCAAAAAAAGTTTGGGATAGGAGCTGTCGTATTCATGAAAGGGTTAATAAATTGGGATTAGCTCATGTTTTTGGTTTATCTTTCAAGTAAAGAACAATCACAAAGTTTTAGTAGTTACAGGATTTTTTTATTTGCGTTCTTTCCTTTAAAAAAATGAATTTCTTCATAAAAGCTTTGGAGCTTTTGGCAAAAATCAAACAGCATGGTTTGTTTTAGAAATTTTGAGAACAGAAGATAGTAATACAGTTCTGTTTTCTACTTCAAAATTTTTTTATTCAGGTGTTTTAAATGTTCTTTTACATGTATAGCTTTCCACGGCTTTCTAAGCTTAATCAACCTTACCCCAATTTTTGTGTCCTGATATCATATACTACTGTTTTCTTAGGCTTTTCTGTGCAGGCACCTACAACTACTACTGCAGGTGGTGGGGACTCAACATTATTGTATATCATTTCCCTACCTGTATCTTGATTGTATAATAAAAACAAAAATGATATGCTGTCCCAAAGCAGCTCAGTCACTTAGAGTATTTCCCTCCTGTTTTTTTTTTTTTGTTGTTGTTGTTCTTTTTCCTTCAGAGGAAGAAGAGCTCAGAAGAGCAGTTCCATCACCTTGTAAGTTGAGTCTTAGAAATGCATGGCAAATGACTTTAGTTTTGTTTTGATGATCATCTAGAGTTAATTGATTTTATATAATGTGTTATATCAGAGTCATATAGAGGAGTTATTTTGAGCAAGAGATGCAAACCCTTAATTAGTTATCCATCTTACTTTCTGTTTACACCATTAGTATCTTGACTTTTAATTGAAATCATGTGTATCCTCTTTAGAAATAATTGGCAAATGTTAATTTATTTCCAGATTATATTTTGGGTACTTAGCATAAAGCTTTTGTAAATCAAAGAATCAAAGGACTATGTCATTCTGGTCCATGTTAATATAATACAAATTAGAAGTAATAATAAAAAATCTGTTTAATATAGGGTCACCTGCAGCTAGTCCTCAAAGCAGTGATAACAGTGATACCCATCAAAGTGGAGGCAGTGACATTGAAATGGATGAGCAACTTATTAATAGAACCAAACATGTGCAACAGCGACTTTCAGACACAGAGGTACGAAAATGGCTCCCCAGCCCCAAAACAATTTTTGGATTTTAGGGCTTCTGCCATGTTTATCCTTTGAACTGGAAATATAAACATGATCCGTATTCAGGCCTTTCCTCACTGTCAAGTACTAATTCAGGTCTTTGAATTTCCTTAGAGTTTTTAATTCCATTTTATATTGTTTGAAGGAAAATATCGAAACTGGCAGCCTTTTAAAAAGTACAGTGTGTTGATGTCATCAACTTTTTTCTTACTAATTTGGTATTTATTTAAATCTGTTTCTAAATACAGGAGTCCATGCAGGGAAGTTCTGATGAAACTGCCAACAGTGGTGAAGATGGAAGCAGTGGTCCTGGTAGCAGTAGTGGGCATAGTGATGGATCTAGCAATGAGGTGAATTCTAGCCATGCAAGCCAGTCAGCTGGGAGCCCTGGCAGTGAGGTACAGTCAGAAGACATTGCAGATATTGAAGCCCTTAAAGAAGAAGATGAAGATGATGATCGTGGTCATAATCCTCCTAAAAACAGTTGTGGTACAGATCCTCGGAACAGGAAGTTAGAAAGTCAAGCAGGCATTTGCTTAGGGGATTCCCAAGGCCCATCAGAAAGAAGTGGGACAAGCAGTGGAACAGGAAAGGACCTGGTTTTTAACACTGAATCAATGCCATCTGTAGATAATCGAATACGAATGCTAGATGCCTGTTCACACTCTGAAGATCCAGAACATGATATTTCAGGGGAAATGAATGCTGCTCATATAGCACAAGCATCTCAGGAATCTTGTATTACACGCACTGGGGACTTTCTTGGGGAGACTATTGGGAATGAATTATTTAATTGTCGGCAGTTTATTGGTCCACAGCATCACCACCACCACCACCACCACCACCACCACCACCACCATGATGGGTAAGTCTAATTGAAAATAAGCAGTTTATATTTCCTTTAGGGAAGAACTTATAGCGTATATTTATTAAATGGCAATATATTCTAGATAAGTACTCTCCAGTAGGAATGTAATGTAAACTGTAAATGCTTGCCACAAATATGTAATTTTTAGTTTTCTAGTGGATACATTTTAAAAAACAAAATGAAACAGATGAGATTAAATTTTAAATTTTATTTAAAGCAGTAATATCTAAAATACCATCTACATGTAAACAGTATAAAAATTCAGGTTATTTTTCTTTTTTTTTATATACTAAGACCTCATTATTTTTTGTATATTATGTATTATAGCACATCTCAGTTTAGAGCAGCCACTTTTTACATGTACAGTGGCTACATGGAGCTAGTGGCTGTCATATTGGGCAGCACATATCTAGATCTTCAACTCCTTATTGTAATTGCCTGGAAGCAGATAGAAGATTGCTTGTGGAAACTTACTGAAGTGTGATCATGAAAAGGGAAATTTTATGCACATCTGAATTTTAGGTCATTAATTAATATAAAGCCTCAACATAACATTTTTTAATTGTCTGAAATATACTACACCCATGATATTTTGACAGTAAGGGATTCTGTCACTAGTGTTATATTTTTCTTTCCATCATTTTTCTCACCTATAAAATAGGAACAGTTGTACCTATCTCATGGGTTTATTGTGAGCATTTCATAGGCTGATCTGACTGGCACATAGTAGTTCAATAAATGTTAGCTGCTGTTTATTGTCATTACAAGTAGTAATATTTGAATTGAAATGAAATATGAATGTGTGATTTATCAGGATGAGCTTTCTTAGACTTGAAAAATTTGCCAGGCCTTTCAGAGTTCAGCATGTTTGTTGGGGAGAACTATATACTCCTATATGTACTTACTTTGCCTTTTTATTCTTATCTCTAATTGATAGTTTAAAGTATATTTCTTACCTTTTGCCAGTATTGACATTTTAAGTCAGGTAATATCTGTGTTTTAAATAAGCAGCAGAGGTGAATGCTGCCCTGTGCATGTGGGATGTTTAGCAGCTAGCCTCTGTCTCTAGATGCCAGCAGCATCTCCCAAGTTGCAATAACCAGAAGTGTCTCTAGACATTGCCAGACGTCCCTGTAGGGGTCAGAATCACCTCTAAGAACTGCTGGTTTGCGGTCTAACATGATAGATACACATGTTCAGAGTTCTCTCTAGGACAGCTCATACTAAAGACAGGGCAGTTAATAAAACCAAAGTTTGGTGTATTGCAAATCACTTTTAGTCTTTCCACCTCATCAACCCCCTGCCACACAATACTGAATGATTTAATTTTTTATGTTAGCACTTTCCATATTTTGTGGGGTATGATAGATGCTACTTGTGAGTCTCTAAGTCAATCCTGAATTTTAATTCTTTGTGTTACTTTTTATCTTTTTTGTCTTTATATCCTTGGAGCACCGAGTATTGTATGTTTTAGAAGTGAGTGCTTAATTGTCCGTTGTCTTAATAGGTATTTTATGTGTAAAAGTTGCTTAATTAATATTAACCACGTCTAGATTGCAGTCTTAAAATGAAGTACTTTACTGGTAGTTGTCTCATAAGATTCTGCAGTTGTATGAATAAATGTAAATAAATTTTAAGGTTTCACATTGTGCCTTGACTTTATAAAATAATTATATAACAGCAAGTTTACTGATCATCCCTAAAATTATTCTCTTTGAAGTTGTTTTAGTGAAATGTATTGATGGACTAGATAACTTGGATATATTGTAAAGTTAATTAATAGGTCTGACATTATAAGCTTTGTAGTTTTTGTAAAGCTCTCAATATTCCATATTATTAAAAAATAAATGTAACTTAATTCTTCTTGAGTGTGTTGTAATGTGGGCCAAATGTTTTGAGAGGTTTTTCTTTTTTGTGATTCATAAAGTGTTTATATTTGTAATTACTAGCCTTGCGCTTTTTTGTGTTATAGGCATATGGTTGATGATATGCTAAGTGCAGATGATGTCAGTTGCAGTAGCTCCCAGGTCAGTGCAAAATCAGAAAAAAATATGGCTGATTTTGATGGTGAAGAATCTGGGTGTGAAGAGGAGCTAGTTCAGATTAATTCACATGCAGAGCTAACATCTCATCTCCAACAACATCTTCCCAATTTAGCATCTATTTACCATGAACATCTTAGTCAAGGTAAGATTCTATAGTATAAAATACATTACTTTCTTTAAAATAGGCGAAATATATGTTACATTGTTAAAAGAAAACAATAGTTAAAGTTACGATACTTAAATGTTTTTTTTTGCCCAATAACTTTCATATGGTAGTCTTTGCAAGGGAATGAAATTACTGCGAGTACTCCATCATGGATATAAAGGCAGCAATCCTATCAAGTTATTTAGGTAGGGAAGGAAATATGTATAAAAATCATAACTTAGAAAATAAATTACTATTAGATTTTCTATTTGAAATTTTAGAACCTAAAAGTAGGAGATTACACAGGATCATATATTGTTTGATTCTACTTACATAAAATGCCTAGGTTTGGCACATCTATAGAGACAAAAGTAGATTAGTGATACCTAAAGCTAGCGAACATTGGGGGGAAATAAGGGGAGGGGTGACTACGAAATGGCAAGGTGTTTCTTCCATTTGGGGTGATGAGAATGTTAAAAACATGATGGTTCTAATCACTTTAAATCACCTAAAAAAAGTGATAGGACATAACCAGACTTGGAAAAATGGAGATTAGAGGAGCTTAAAGAATAGTAAAAGAAAAAGAAGGAAGGGCAGAAAAATTTAAGAGGAAAAAATTTTATTTTATTTTTTCTTCATGCTTTTTACTTTTTATTTTAAAAAAACTTTTTATTGTAGTTGACTTATTGGTTTCAGGTGTACAACATAATGATTTGACATTTATGTACATTACAAAATGTTCACTAGAAGTATAGTTACCATCTGTACCACAGAAAGTTATTACAATTTTACTGACTGTATTCCTAATGCTGTAATTTTTTTATCCTTGTGACTTATTTATAACTGGAAGTTTGTACCTCTAAATCCCTTCACCTGTTTTGTCTATCCATCACCCCTTTCCTCTCTGACAACCACCAGGTTGTTTATCTGTTATAAATGGGTCTGTTTCTGTTTTTCTTTGTTCATTCATTTGTTGTTTAGATTCCACACATAAGTGAAATCATATGGTGTTTTTCTCTGACTTAATTCACTTAGCATAATACCCTCCAATTCTGTTGATGTTGGAAATGGCAAAATTATACTTTTATGGTTGAATAATATTCTATTATGTATATATACCACACTTTCTTCATCCATTGATCTATTGATGGACACTGGTTGCTTCCATGTCTCATCTACGCCTCGGTTATTGTAAATAATGCTGCAGTGAACATAAGAATGCAAAAATATGGAAAAATGATTCTAGAATTGGCAATTTAAAGGTCTTGTATCCAACCTCATGCTTGGTTAGGTACCATCCACACTTGCTAGCCTAGGAAATGGGTTTTGAGATGCCAGTATGTTACAAACTAAACCTGGTGGGTAGGTTTATGCTAATAGGCTATGCTCATACTTGGTGACACAACTTGGGGACCCTTAGAAACAAGTGACTGATTTCAAATGTTACTTATACATAATCTGGATGAGATGACCTTCAGTTTTTTTATGGTTGTATTATTATGGTTATTGAGGCTAATTTGAATTTGATACCACATTTAAAAAGTTTTCACCATTCTTCTGTTCTTAACCCATTTTCCTTAGTCAGTATAGTACATACTTTTTTACTTCATGAAGTTATAGAATTGAGAATTATTCGATGTATTAATGCTCTTCAAATTACTGTGTATTTAATACTGTGAAGAACTCTGCCAGCAGTAAGACAAAGAATTCAATTTAAAAATGGGCAAAGATTTGAACAATTCATTCATAAAAGAAGATGCAGAAATGGTGAATAAATACATGACAAAGTTGCTTGATATCTCTAGTTACCTGGCAAATGCAAATGAAAAGCGCTGTGGTGGTACTGCTACATACCTACTAAATGGGTGTTCGCAAATGCTACTAAGGATAATAGAGCATCTAGTATTCTCATATATTGCTATCAAGGAGTATGAAACAGTACAGTCAGTTTGGAGAACTGTTTTATCAATCTCATAATAGAGCATCTAGTATTCTCATATATTGCTATCAAGGAGTATGAAACAGTACAGTCAGTTTGGAGAACTGTTTTATCAATCTCATATAAAATTAAACATGTACTTACTGTGTGACCAACAATTCCTGTTTTAGGTATTTACCCTAGAGAAATAAAAACATATATCCACAAAAAAATGTATACATGAATATTAATAGCTGCTTCATTCATAACTTAAGTTGGAATTAACTGGTAGATAAATTGTACATTTACATAGTGGAATACAAGTCATAAAAAGGAAAGTACTAATACATGAAATATCATGGCTGAATATAAAAGACATCAGTTTAAGCAAATGAAGTTAGAAAGAAGAGTAAATGCTGTATGTCATTTATATATAGTTCTAGAATATTCTAAAGTAATTTATAGTGGTTGGAATCTAATGAATGATTACCTAAGGTTTGGTGATGGGGATTGATTATCAAGGGAACTTTTTTTGGGTTGATAAAAATGTTCTGTGTCTTGATTAAGTACTTATATTTTAGTAAAATTAATTTTAGAAAGTAAACACCAAAACCACTCCCAACCCCACCCCCAAGCCCCCCAGAAAGGGCAAGCCACAGACTAGGAGAAATACTTGCAAATTATATAGGCTTTGGATATGGGCTTATATTTAGAACATATAAGAACTTTTACAACTCAATAATTAATAACAATTAAAAAGTGAGAGATGATTTATTTCACCAAAGAAGGTATACGGATAACTAATAAAACACATAAGATGTTCAACATCTTTAGTTATTAGGGAGTTGCAAATTAAAAACCACAGTGAGATTCTATTGCATACCTATTAGAATGGCTAAAATTAAACATCATACCCATGTATTGGGGTGGGTAGAGGAACAGGAACTGGCACCCTGATACACTCTTGGTGCGAATGTATGATGGCACAACCACTTTGGGGAACAGTTTAGCAGCTTCTTCAAATATTAAATGTACGTTTACCTTATGACCCAACATTTTCACTCCTAAGTATTTACCCAAGAGAAAGGAAAACATGCGTCCATACAAAGTCTTATAACACAGATGTTTATGGCAGCATTATTCATATTAGCCCCAAACTGGAAATTATTCAAATGCCCGCTAACTAATGACTGTATAAATAAAATTCAGTATTTCTGCGTGATGTAATATCATTCTGTAATTACAGAGAACACATTGCTGATAGGTGTTTTAACATGGGTGAACCTCAAAAGACATTCTGCTGAGTGAAACAAGTCAGACAAAAGAGACAAAAGACTATACTTACTGAATGATTTGATTTACATGAAACTTCTGGAAAAGGCTGAATTAATGGGGATGGAAAAACAAAGTTGGGCTGGATAATGGGAATCTGGGATTAGTGTAGTTAGGATGAGAGAATGCTTTAGAGTGGTGAAAATATTCTAAAACTTGTGATGGTTGCACAATTCTTTTAATGAAGTCAGTGTTAGGTGTACAATTAAGTAGGGAAATGGCATGGTAAAGCTGTTGACAAAGACAAAAAGAAGTATTTTTGCTTAATATAACAGAACTAGTGAGAATTTATTTAGCCTATTCAGAAAGGCTGAGTTATTATAACAAGCTTTCAATTTAATTGAATGTTTTGAGTAAATCGTCTCCAATAAAATTTTTTTTTTTCACTGTAGGTATATAAGACACTATACAGGAGATCATTTAAAGGAATGTCCCTTGGCTATAGAATTATTTTAAGTAAATTGTTGTCCTTATGCTTATTTGGGTTTCAAGTATTTATATATAGTTCTCTAAACATGTGGAAAACATTAAATAATCATACTTACTAGAGATGGTGAGGAGACTAGAAAACTCATTTCGCTTTAGTCTTACCAAACTCTAAACATACTATTCTGTGCCATTCATAAGGCAGCTGTTGTGCTAACCTTAATGTTTTTATTTGGTGTTGAAGAGATTTATTTTACTTTGGATTTGTTAACTTTATGAATGCTATATTTCACTTCACAATTTCAGTCAGCTGCATTCCTCTATAGTGTGCTATATTTTGCTCTTTCAGGACCTGCAGTTCATAAACATCAATTCAACAGTAATGCTGTGACAGATATTAATTTGGATAATGTTTGCAAGAAAGGAAACACTTTGTTGTGGGATATAGTCCAAGATGATGATGCAGTAAGTTGTTAGAACCAAAAGACTACAAAATTAGAGCAAAATGCAATCAGGATAAACAGTAACTTTATGTATATACATTTTTTGTAGGTTAATCTTTCTGAAGGATTAATAAATGAAGCAGAAAAACTTCTCTGTTCCTTAGTATGTTGGTTTACGGATAGACAGATTCGAATGAGATTCATTGAAGGTTGCCTTGAAAATTTAGGAAACAACAGGTAAATAGGAATTTAAAAATTTTTGGTGCAGTTGTTAAAGTTCATTTTGTGGATTCTTACTGCTTACATATGGTGAATTCATAGAGTGTAATGTACCATTATTAGCCTGTTTTATAGTAATTGTGGTTTTCATATCAGGTTTAAAGACTTTCCTCTCCCAGGGTTCATATTTTTCTTTATCACTCAGTCTTGCTTTGTTCAGCACTTTTTGGCACTCTTGCTAAGATCTGCTCAGCAGAAATGAAGGACTAATAATAATACATATTCTCTTGATTCTTGCAACACAGTAGTGATTACTCTTTTTTTGAAATTACAGTTAAATATTCTTGAAGTGTGTTACATATAAAGGAAGTTAAATAAGATAAGTTAAACTTACCCTGAAATGTAAACATTTTGGTAATGACATTGTCCTTCCATCTGGGTAGATCTTTTTGTACTTTGAGTCCTGTAATGCATAAAGAATTAGGTTAATGTTTTTCTCTAGTTTAAATTCTGCAATATATTTATATACTTCTGATTTGGGCTCAAGTGATTATCACACGTTTCTTGATTTTCAGTTCTGTTCCACTGGTACAATTTCAGGTTTCCTTTTACTTACAGTACTTTGATGTTTCATTCTCTGACATAGTGAATTACATTACTAATTGAATATTTTATATATTATATTACAGTTTTCAGCTTACCTCTGCTAAGAGCTGATAGAAATGTCTTTATTGAACACTTAAGTGCTACAAAATATTTTTTTTACTTCTTTGAATTAGAAAAAGTATGTGCAATATTCTATTTTCTACTCTTTATGAAGACCTGTAATTTGAATAGTCAGATTTAAAGTTGATTGTTCATGCAGGTATAAACCACTGATAGACCTCAGGTAGTGGATCAACTACCTCATTTGGCATGTATTAGTTAAAAGGAATGCTTTTAATAGCTGGGTGATACATTTCATCATTTTCATAGGTATTATAGCAGTTAATTTTAAAATGTAAATTGTCTTTTAAAAGTCAGTTTTTCGGAGGTCTTATCAGTTTATATTACTATGTGCATCTGCATACCCTGTGACCCAGCAATTCAGATACTAAGAATGTGCCCTACAGAAATACATCTGGGCAGTCAACAATATTCATAGCTGCACTACCAGACTAACTAAATATTCTTTGCATGGCTATCCAAGTGCCAAAAGAGTAGAAAGGAAAATTAAATTACAGGCTGTTGGTTGAATGAAATAGTACATAACAATAACAGTGAATGAAGTACGACTGCACAGAAAAGTGTAGATGAATCTCACAAACATGTTGAGTGGGAAAGTATATCTCTGTTACTCCATTTATATAAAGTTTAAGAACTGGAAAACTATTGTATTTAATAATCAGGATGATAGTTACTGTTGGATTGTTCATGAATGGAAGTGGCCAAAATGAAGGAATCTAGTATGCTGGTAGTGATTTATTTCTTGATGTGGGTGCTGATTGCAAAGGTTGTGTTCACCTAATTTTTAAAATTTTCACTCATTTTTACACACATTTTTGTGTGTTATACTTCAATTAAAAATCCCTGTGAAATATGAAATATCATGTGGCCTTGAAGAATCCTTTTCTCAAAGGTGGTGTAATGATGTGGGCGTATACGCACAGACCCATCTGTTAAAAGTTGCAAGCAATGTGTGAGACTGTAAAATGGTTATTTCTCTGAGAGGAATGAGTTATTTTTTTCTTCTTTATGGTTTTTTATTTTCCTTTTTTTTTCACAGCATATATTTCTCATAAGTAGAGAAATTTAAAAGGAACAAAAGGAAAAATCTGTGTGTAAAATAGAAAACTATCAATCTGGATTTTTTAAAAAATTTGTCCAGCCCCAACTATTTGAAAATGATTCATAGTTTTCATTTTTTTGAGACAATCCCTGTGCCCTAATATAGTTACTTAATGGTTTATTGAATATCTAATAAACATAAATATTATGTTGAAACTCATTTTGCCCTCAAATTTTACTACTCACAGAGTTGCTATATCATGCTAGTCTTCCTATGAATGACGTGAGTCATATATGACAATACTTAGAGCATAGTGGCATTTTTCACCCTGGGAATGCAACACGTCTAGTTTATACCAGTTAAATTTGGTGAAGTTACTATGCAAATTGAAAAAATTAGTTTTGAACATATTTAAAAACTAATTAGCCTATGTTTCCTGGTAAACTAGTTGTTTTCAGTGAGGGTTATTTTTTTTCTCCAGACAATGCCAACCAGGATATTTTTGTTTTCACACTAATGAGCAGTATTGGAGGTGTTACTGTTGTCCAGGGATGCTACTAAACATCCCTCAATGCAGAGGACAACCCCCCACAACAAAGAATTATCTGGCCAAAATGTCAGTAGTGACATCAGTGTTTTGACGAATCCTGTTCTAAACACACAGATCCTTTCTCCAAACCTAGTTCCCTGGGTTTGCCATACAGCAAGGAAAGAATGTTACCCAAGTATACTCAAATTGATAGGCAAGCCCTTCCTTATGTTGAAACAAACAAATGGGCCAGTGCAACCTTAACTCATTTACTATTTTCCTTACATTTGACAAAAAACAGAGAGGTCTACTTCTTTTTGATGTCAATTTTTTATGTACTTATAGAGGTTTTATGTTTCTTTTTATTTTCTCTATGTTTTCTCATTTTCTTTCCAGTTCCCCATTTGCCATGGCTTATATCCTTGTGAACATTTTTTTTCCCCCTTGGTCATATTCCAATTTATTTTATAAAATGAGCTTAGCCTTTTTTTTTTTTTTTTTGGGGGGGTATTTCTCCTTTTTATTGATCAAATGGTTGTTAACAACAATAAAATTCTGTATAGGGGACTCAATGCTCAATGTATAATCATTAATGCACCTCAAGCCTAATTTTCATCAGTCTCCAATCTTCTGAAGCATAATGAACAAGTTCTTACATGGAGAACAAATTCTTACATAGTGAATAAGTTACATGGTGAACAGTACAAGGGCAGTCATCACAGAAACTTTCGGTTTTGATCATACATTATGAACTAAAAACAGTCAGTTCAAATATGAATATTCGTTTGATTTTTATACTTGATTTATATGTGGATACCACATTTCTCTCTTTATTATTATTATTTTTAATAAAATGCTGAAGTGGTAGGTAGATGCAAGATAAAGGTAGAAAACATGGTTTAGTGTTGTAAGAGAGCAAATGTAGATGATCAGGTGTGTGCCTGTAGACTATGTGTTAATCCAAGCTAGACAAGGGCAATAAAACATCCACGGATGCAGAAGATTTCTCTCAAAACAGGGGGGGTGAGGTTCTAAGCCTCACCTCTGTTGATCCCCAATTTCTCACCTGATGGCCCCCCTGCGACTGTGCCTGTCTTAGGTTGTTCCTCCCTTGAGGAATCTTACCCGTCTCTGGCTAACCAGTCATCTTCCGGGGCCATACAGGGAAATGTAAAGTTGGTAAGTGAGAGAGAAGCCATATTGTTTGAAAAGGTTAGCTTTTTACTTCTTTGCAGATTTATGCCCTGTGGCTTCTATGCCCAGCACTTGTCTCGAGGTATCTTTACCACCTGGAGGAATTATGATACTCGGTAAATTCGATATGAGGCACGAATTCTATTTAAGGGTTGTAATTAGGAAGGAAGAAGAAAAGCTATAGAAGTAGCAGACGGAAGAAAATCTGGGAAGATTGATTATTTCTTTGACATATCTTCTTGTAGAGTAACTTCAGCATGTATAGGTTTTAAACTACTAATTAAATTGCGCACACACATTAACATAATAGGAATACAGTTACATAACCAAAGCATACCTATAATTACCAGCCATCTCCAGTAAAACCAAGAAAACCAGTTAGGCAGACTAGGCATTTGTGAAAACTTATCTATGATATGATGGATATTGTCTAACTGATTTTGAATAGTTTGAGAAAAATCAGAACTGTTCACATCCCATATGTTCTTTTAATAGTCTGTAGAGCTTAGCCTTTTTTGAACAGTAATAAAGGCTCATTACTTGTCAGGAAGCATAGAGATCTGAAAAAGATAAAGTTTTCTATAAATTGCCCATAATTCTTCCATTTATATGTAGTAACTATAAATACTTTTTAAAAATGCCTGCATATTGGGGTTGATTAATGACTGTGCATTGAGTCCCCTATACAGAATTTTGTTGTTAACAACCATTGATCAATAAATATGAGAGATGCCCTCTCAAAAAAAAAAATGCCTGCGTAGTCTGTCTGTCTGATAAACAAGTGTCTTGTGTACATTTAGCCTTAGGCACATTGTTATGTAGGCACATAATAATATTTTCACAGTGCAGGAAGTTTAAAGTCACACACAGAAGCACATAGTAGACTGGTTTACAGAATGTTGTTAACAAGTGAGAGCATGAGACAGACAGTAGATCCCACAATGAAAAGTCCATTACTTTTCAGCTTAATGTTTGTTGCCAAGGATAAGAGATAAGACTGCTTGCTGTCCATTGAGTAGGGTGGAAGTACGGGGTTGGGTTGTAATCGATCCCTTCAGTATTTTATGTTTACTAGATGGCAGGTTTACATCTTGTGCCTAGGTGGCCCCTGAAATTCTGTAGCCTCCTAAGAATTAAATTGAGACTTTGGAAACCTATCCAGTATGCTGTTTTTTGCCACTCTTGATCCACTGTAGGTACTTTAACCCACGTGTTCAAAGTTTTTGCCACTGTCTACGAGATTTCCTTAGTAAAATTGCTTGTGTCAAGGATCCTGTTTACATAAATGTTCATATAATTAAGATATGGATGGTACTATATATATTGTTTTGTTTTCCCTCCATAAGACTGCATTGTATGCAGCATTTCATGTCAACTTTTAGTATATACTATCATTTATGACTAAATAGCATTTTGGTAGGATATATTAGTCTTCTTAAAATATGGAGTCAGGGATTAGGGAAAAAAATCATCCAAACATGACTGTGAAGACCACCAGCAAACATGTTCATTCTACTAAGGCAACATAAATTGTTAATTCTCATAAGAACACACTGTTGCCTAGTAATAAGCTTCTGGTTATAACAAAAAACCCTGAAAATCAAGTAAAGGCAGTGAGGGTAGTAGCATTATTTGAGTCTTTATTAGCATCTTGTTATTCTAGATCCTTGAACCTTTTTATCCTAAACACTGTTGCCTGGGATTGTGTGTTTGATATCTGAAATTTTCACTCTTGGAAGAATCTATGGAATGTAAGATTGAATATAACAACCCTTTTTTATACTGAGGTTTTTAAGTATTTAAGCAGTTAAAACTATTTGGACAAAAAGTTAAGTCAATGTAATAAGTCAATGTAACTCATAGCTGTTCCAGGAAAAATTCTACAACATAATTTTAATTGGAACAAGTTGGTAGATCGGGTGATATTTCCTTTAACATTTGAAATATAAATTGTTATTGTCATCAAATTATCTTGCCCATTTTTTATATATGCTACTGATTTTCAGCCTATAATCAATACTTCATATTGTTTTTCTTTTTAAGTTTATCAGTTTGAATAAAATGCCCTATTGTTTTGGGATCACTTTGAATCTACATTTACTGATTTCTTATAAAGTATTCTTAAATGGGTAGCACTTAAAATGTGTGTCTTCTATATTTAAATTTTTTAAGGAGGAAAATGTGCAATTTTTCTGATTACCTTAGGAAAAACTTTTTAAAAAGTTTGTCATCCAAGATGTAATCATTCCATGATAATGCAGTGTTTATATTATAAAATGTGGGGAAAGCATTCTTCTTAGGATAAGAGTAGAGGGAAGATGAGTCCTCTTTCTACATTACTATTTTTAGTTCTTTTTTTATATGAATTTGCCATTATCCATTCAACTCAACCAGTATCCCCTCAGTGCCTGGCTTCCTATTCTCTAATGTCAAGCAGCATTACATTTTATAAAATGAAAATATGTTATTGTAGAAAATTGACAAGTAAGTTTAAGCAATCTAGACTCCTAACACCATTAACTGCAAAAGACATAATTTAATAAATTTTCAGAAAATATAAAAATCTTGACACAATAAATGAGTTGCCATAGTTCTTCTTAAAGGAAATTATATTTGGTATCTGCATTTTAAAAATACTGTTGTAATCACATTAGGCAAACAAGTTTTGAAATTTGCTTTTGTGATTTTAGGTGAAACTTTTCTGTATCTTTTTTTCTTTGTGGTATCTTTTATTGATTTTATGCTTGTAAAGCCTTAAGTCAAATTTAATATATATTCTAGCTTTTTATGTCTTAATTTTTAAGATAAACTCTGCTAATGTCCCTAAAGTTCTGACAGAGGATTTTAGTTAAAGAATCTCAAATTGATTTCCCCCTGACCCTCCATGGTCCATTTCCCAGGCATCATTACTGTGCAACTTGTTTGAAAAATGTTAAAAATTTTTAATATTTAAGAATACACAACATTTTAAATGTTTCAGAATATTCAAAGAATATTTGCTTTGTACTTACTGGATATCAGACATTTACTATCTCTGTTACCTCATGGTATTCTCCTTAATCTGTTTGATCCTCTAACATTCTGTTAGCATGTTGTTTGTTTTGTCATTTGATAGTATTTCTCTTCTGTCCTCATTCGTCATGACAGTTATATAACGTTTACACTGTTGGTCTTCCTCCTTCCTTGATAATTTTGCTTTTAAGTTCTTTACTTTTCATTATGTAGACAAGTACATATATTTGGTGTGTACCATGTGCAAGGATTTTTAATCAATAAGACAGTCTTTGTGCTCATCAAGCACATTCTAGTGTTAGATACATTAAATAAAGGAACATTCATTAGGTGATAGTGAATGAAGAAAAATCTATTGGAAATGAATCAAGAGGAATAAAAACATTTCTGGGGGCAACGGTATGGTATTATTTAATGTAATGTCAGATCATCCTTTCTGTTAACAGCTGAGGAAACCTGACTAAAGTTAAGGGAAGGGAGTCTTGCAGATAGATATTTAGTTAGCATTCCAACAGAGGCAATAGCAAAGGCTCTGAGGTAGCAAAAAGGGATAGCAAAGAGGAATATTAGAAAGAAATTCAGTTAGACTGGTAAGTGGAATGGGGACAGATCTCACAGTGCTTTGTAGCACAAGTATTTTTTATTTTGTTCAGTAACAGGAAGTTTTCTCTCTAATTTTCCTACTCAGTATTTACCAGTTTCCTTCCCATTCAGAAGTACAACCTCAAAAAGAGCTAATCTCAAAAAGAGCCACTTTTTAGGAGACTTGTACACCATACCTGTAGGTAGGGTGGAACATTACTCTGAAAAATCTTTGATGAAGCAGTTTTGGCTCCTGAACATACAAAAAAAAAAAAATCAGTACCATATTTGAGTTAGTCCTGTTTTCTTCCAAGGCTCTTGTAGCCACCCTCCATTGTCCACTGAGACTTCTGAAATTTGTCTATCATTTTCTTCCTTATACTTATATCCCTTCTTTCAGAAAATAGGCAAACTCAGATCTACTTGAGGTTTTGGAATGATGTCTTAATCCCTTTTTTACTTCTTCACACTTGAGGTGTGTTTCCCTTATTAACATGGCTCATAATGCAATGATTTTCAACTTGGGTGCACATCATATTGAGAGTTAGGAAGTGGTAATTTGTATATTTTGAAAACTGCTCTCTGTATTATTGCTGCTCAGAATGTGGTCCACAAACCAGCAGTATATGAGTATCATTTGTGAGCTTATTAGAAATACAAAAATTACCTAGATGCACAGAATCAAAATTTCCCTTTTTGACAAAATTCCTCCAGGTGAATGAAGTATACATAAAATTTTGAGAAACCCTGGTCTAGATTACTTATTGCTCTCTATTTTCCTTCATTAAATCTTCAGAAGCATTCATGACTCTTTAAAGAATACTTTCATGAAAAAAAATTGCTTTTAAACGCTCTTTTATTTTTAGATTATAGTGTATTTTACTTTAAAAGTCTTGGTTTGATATTTAAAACTTGAATTTCTTGTCTCAATATACATAGAAAAGATAATTTTAATGTTTGCATAGGAATTATTTTTATGTGAAGTCCTTTAAATGTTTTTTTCATTAAAGTATTTAAATAGCTGAATTTTTGTAAAAAGCTAGAATTACTGATAGTGGTTAAAATTATTTTATTCCTGTAAATACCTCTCTTTACTGTTTCAGATCAGTAGTAATTTCACTTCGTCTTCTTCCAAAACTATTTGGTACTTTTCAGCAGTTTGGGAGCAGTTATGATACACATTGGATTACAATGTAAGTAAATAAAAGAAACAAATGTATTCATTTTAAAGGTTCTTTTTTTTTTTCAAGTCATAGTTATCAAAGTTTTGAATAAATTACTAGATATTCTGCAAGAGGAAAATCTGAATTTGGTGTGGTTCACATGTTTTCTTAGATTTCTCAGAATGCCATCTCTGCCATTTAGCCCCTTTGAGATTACATCCCTATCAGCAGGAAAATCTGACTTTTGTATTCCTTGTAGTGTGAGAAAAATACTGTAGCACTTAGTGTTCTAATTTGAGGGTGAAGATTTTTAGTGTATCTGGCCATAGCAACTCCTGAAAAAGATGCACACTAAAATAAACAATTTAGGGTGCTTTTAATTTTTCCCATTACTAGGAATTAGTTCTAGACATTACATCATGTTAAGGATAATATTGGCACTACCCTATTAGTCCTTTACATTTATAGAAAATTTGTGATTAATAAATGTTAAAGAATTCTTTCAAAGATAGTGAAATTGATTTGTTTGGCAATATTCTAAAAGAAAGTAGGCTATCATAAGCACTTCATTTAATCTGTAAAAATGTTATTTGATATATTCTAAATAGGCTTTTGGAGAGATTTCAGAGACCTATTTTTGGAAAAATTATATCCATTGAAGGATTGATTCATTGTAAGGTCAAGTAGGATGACTTTTTACCTGATTTCTTCTCAGATCTAAGATTTGATAGATGGTAAGGGTACTGTTTGCTTTTAAAATGAATTATTTAAAAAATTCTTGGAAGTCTAAACTATAGTTCTAAATAGGATGAAGTTAGTCTTCTGAGATATAGCCTTGTCATTTATTGCTCTTTTAAAGGGGATGTCTTTAACTGGAACCTCTATTATTTTTCAAAAACCATCTTAGAATCTCTCTCTTTGGTTAATACTACAATATGACTCTTGTGACAGTTCTGTTTGGGAGTGTAAGGAAGGCCCTTGAGATATTAAACCAGAAAGATGGAGGAAAGCATTTAGCATTCTTTAAGTACAAGAATTGCATGAGTCCTGTTCCATTGACTCTTCCGTAGTTTTGAAATGACTGAATTACAATATTCTAAAGTATTAAAGGAATTTACTTGTAGCTAACTTGGGAAAGTTAGTGATGTATTGTAGCCATTTGAGGAGGTTAATCGTGAGGAGGAATAAAGGCTAACATTTTTTTATAGAAATGGAAACTCTGAATATTCAGTGACTGATCAGGTACCTGAACTTAACTATATTGAGTTGAAACCCTTTTAGCTTGTTCCTTAAATTAAATGTAAATAAATTGTTAATGGCAGTTCATTATGAGACTGGTATCCTAAATCCCATCAAGTGTATCACATAACTGAGCTCCTGTGGTTAGTTGGCAGCAGTGAATTAAAAACTTAAACTTGTGAATCTAGTATGTGCAGCAGCACTCAAAATTTGGTATATATATTTTCTCTTAAGCTCTCTTGGCCCATATTTTAAAACTGGAAATTGTTATCCCTGATCCTTTTAGTAAATCTGGGGGTAACCCAGCAGACAGACTTCAGGAGTTCAGCTTACTTGTCTAAAGCCCTGCAGCAAGTGTGTTGGAATGGGTGTCAAACCTAAGTCTTACTGAACATTTTCTTTCTACCCCCTTGACCTTCATTGAGTGATTGTCAAGGCAAGAGTTAACTTATTTCGAAAAGAGGGCTACAGCAAAAAACATGATGTAAATTACATTAGAAATCTTGGAAGTTTAGTATTTATATGCATTTTAGCAGATGTTTTGCTAATCCATTTAGCAGAAATAGATTGTTAGTTATGGAAGTAATGAACCTTGGGATCTCTATTTTTATCACTACTTTTTTTATTCTAGTGTTTATAGGTTATTATGGAGCTGAATACCAAAATGTGTTTTTTTTAATATTTAAAAATAAACACAAATTATTGATAGTTTTAAAAAAACCTGATTGATTCAGTTAAGTTTTTATGTACTCTATATGTCAAGCACTCTGTTAAATATTGACCAATGTAGTCTATCCTTGTATGGACTGTATTGTACTGTCTCTGCAGTTAACTCGTATTAATCATATATAATTATCATTCTGCCAGAGATTTTATCCCCTTCATAGGGATTGAGTCTAAAAAAATAATGATACTTTAATTTCTTACAAATTAAGGCATATTGCTTTTTATCTTTTCACAATTCAAATAAAAGTAGAACTTGAAAGTTCTTGGTAATTGAAAGACTTTGTATTTGCAGATTTTTTAGATAAATTTTTTTCCCTGCCTATAATTATTTCTCTTACCTTATGCCTTTAAAATTATTTTTTCTTTCATTTGGCCAGGTGGGCAGAAAAAGAACTTAACATGATGAAGCTTTTCTTTGATAATTTAGTCTACTACATTCAAGCTGTAAGAGAAGGAAGACAAAAACATGCACTGTGAGTATCCCTTAGCTAGGTTAATTATGTTTCAGTGCTGATTGTCTTTCCTCTGAAAGGTATTTTTCAGTATTCCTACTTCTTTTCTTTCATATGGTACATAAATGTAATGAAAACTTCAGTTGTAGAAATTTTAAGAGAAAGGCTCTTTTTTAAGTTTAAGAATTCTATAAAGTTATTTTTATAATTTTAGTGTTAGGGAAATGCAGGCTATAAAACTTTTGGAGCGTTAGTTAACTTTCACTACTGATTGTTTTCAAAGTCACTGTTTTCAGGAATTAGAAGTAAACAATTTTTTTCAGAAATCATCAATGTCCTTTTAGTAGGGTGTTGACTGTAGAATTTTTAAATACTTACTTCCAAACAAATATATTTAACATGTAGTTAAGTATGTTAAACAGAGTTTAAAACATTTTCCTTTATTTTAATTGGATACTACTATTAGAGACTTTTGGACCTGTATGGGAAGTTTACAAACTGGGATGGTGTAACTGGTTAACATTTCATCATTAAAAATATTCTTTGAATTTACTGAAGTGACTTTGGATAAGAATTGATAGAAATTGGTTAGTGGCATAGCTGTGTTTAAAGCTTCTTGTAGGGAGATGCTTGCCTGAAAGGAAACACAATGTAAGATTCAGGTTTTTGCTTGTGAATCAGTTGGGGGGCACAGTTGGGAGACCAGCTCAGTGTCAGTATGAGCATTTCAGTGAATAAAAGAAGTAGCTACAGTATTTACTGAGAAAATGTTAGCTTATAAAACTTCCACATAGATGGAAACAAGCAGCTGAGCAAGTATTCAGAAAAGCAATAAACTTTAAGTCATGCTTCTCTCCAAAAACGAATTCACTTACTTTTCCTCACATTTTACTGTGTTCTTCAGAGTACCACCATCCTCCCAATCACCTAAAACTTGGAGACGTGGGGCCTTTTTTGTATTATTCTATTTTCAAACATGAATAATAATAATGATGATGATGATGATGATGATAAAAATAGCCATTGTTCTTCGATACTTACTATATGTCAGATACCATTAAAGTATTAAGTATTCAGTATTAAGTATCAAATTTGAGGTAGGCAGTCTCATTTTAAAAATGAAAACATTTAAGCTATGAGATGACAAGTAACTTGTCTAAGGTCACACATTTTATGAATAGTGGAACTAGGGTTTCTATAATTCATTTACTTTGGTAAGCAAACATTTTAAAAACAGTGCAACAGTCTATTTTCTGTAATTTACTCAAGTGCTATATTTTACTGTCATCAATCTTTAGTTTTCTTACTGCTGAAATATATCCCATGTCTTTTCACAGGTTGACATTCCCACAAACACTATTCCAGTCCTTTTAACCAGCCTTTGGATCAGTCCTCTTGCCTTAGTCACCCCCAAGCCAGTTAATTTCTTATCCTTACTAAATTAGGAAGGCTGTATGGCATTGGTGGAAAGCATGTGGCTTGAAAATCATACACATCTGAATTTAGATTATGAATCTATTATTTTGACCTTATTTCAGTTATTTACCTCTCTAATAAATTAATTATTTACCTCATAAGCTTTTGTGAGGATTAAGTGAAATAATTTAGTAAGTTCACGTGGCACATAGTAGATTATCTGTAAATTGTAGTTATCTGGCTAAAACAAACTACAGTAAAAAAACAAAAAAGAAACTTGCCTCTTACCCCCATTTAGATTCTTTCTGCAGAAAAAAATAAATCGTAGTTTCTTCATCCTCATATTATTCTGAACCCTTGAAAATCTAAAGTTAACAAATTTTTCCTGTTTCATTGTTCAATGATTTTTTAAGGCATCCTATTTTACAAGTCTATCAAATTATTGTTTGATAGCTTTAAATTTATTCTATAGCTTTGCCTACAAAGTCACCTCTACACAAGATGCATTCTCTTTAAATCCCTTTAGAATTCAAAGTGTTCTTCATAGTGTATGTCCTCCTTTAATTTCTGTTCTTGAAGCAGAGGTTGAGGGTATTTATGGTCACTTGATGGAGTATCTCTTTACCTCCTTTATGAAAACCATAAGATCAACAAGGAGCAGAAATAAAACTGCACATGACCAACATCTTCAGCACTTTTAAGAGGCCGAGAATTCAAATTTCCTACAATAGAGAAATAAACACTAAGTTACAAAAGAGCTCCCCCTACAAACAAGGCTTTGGGCTTGAAAAGCAGGGATGGGAGGCTTAAAAGAGAGTAGAAGGCATAGATAAATCATCCTTCAAAAGAGAAAGTTCAACATGAAGTGCCAAAAATGAACATGGATCTGAGACTTGGTTGTTCACAGCATTGGCTGCAGGGAACTTGCCCACTTTGTTAGTGGAACTAGAGGCGGATCCTCACATAAGCATAAAATCTGTGGCAAAAGGATAAACAAATAGTGGAGTGGTGCTCTTGGAGATGAGTTTTATGCTTTCCTAATGTATTCCAGTGTCCTAACAATTCTCCCCATCTGCCTTGTTGTCCGGCTTCTTAGGAACATAAAACCTTAGAACAGAAATGTTGTGTGGACTGTTTTGGAAGCCCCTTGTTCTTTCATGCTGTAAAACAGAGTCGTACATTTGTTACTCTTTGTTAAAGCATACTGACTTCTTCTTCAGTTTGTGGCAAATTATCTTCTCTTTGTTCAGCGGGAATTAGAGTGGCAAGTTGTAAGATTGTCACCTAGGAGAAAAAGACTCTTGTGGCATAAAAGGTAACACTTCAGTTCCTAAATGGACATACTATGTATTTCTTGAAACCAGTGACCTCTAGAGAAAATCCTGTCTGTGTCAACATTGAGGCTACAAAGACAATGATTTTTTTTTTAAGGCATTGTAAAAAAATGTTTCATGCCTTTGGAGAGATTATTTTGTCTTATATTTTCTGTAATGTGAGAAGCCATGGACAACAAACCCATGAGAAGTTCTCAGTATAATAATATCGTATTTATTTTTCATCCCAAGAAATTCCCTGGCTGGTGATTTCAGCAGCTAGTGGGAAACTGACAAAGCAGAGTTCTTTGAAGTGTGGACCTCTACTGTGGCTCTACTGTGGAAGTTGAAGAAGGGAAAACAAAGGGCTTAGATTCATGCCTTCTAGGGTTATGGGATCCTCACTTTAAGATGCAGGTATCAGGGAAGGAATTATTCAGGAAATAAATGCACTTTGGAAAGAATGAGACTTCATTCCACTTTTATGTCTGTAACCAACAACCCCCAGACTCAGGCTCAGAAAACTGCAATAATTTACTTAAAATCACAGAACTGACAGACGATGGAACTGGTATTTGAACCTGTACACCAAAGTCTGCTACAAAATCTCTGTTCTTTTAGTAAAGGATGATAAGCTGTTACAAACTGTTTTTTAAATTTATCTGGATAGCATTCTAGTTTGTGAGTTGATCAGTGTATTCCCCTTTCACACCCCAGCCACTTTACCAGATGTAGTTTCATCTTCATAAAGGGCACTGCAATGATAATGAAGTAAAAATTCACCTTTTCTTTGCCAACGTTAATACAAGAGAGTAAAGAGCAGCAAGGGGATATCCAGCCAACTCAATCTTTAGAAAACCTTAACTTTAAACTTCTACAGTGAATCTAGTGTAATTTTTGAAACTAGCCAATTTGGGAAGCTTTAAAAATTTGTACGTACTTCAAGATTATAGAAAATTGAAGCTCTTTGACTCTGTGCAACATGGGATATAGATCAGGGCTGAGATTGGCTGCTGCCTTTTTTTGGCACAGTATTCCATCCACAACCAGTCTTTTGATTTGTAACATAGAGGTAAGCACTCATGATTGATTTAGTGTCATTGATTGAGTGTTCGGGTGGGTACCTGTGGAAATTAGAATGTTTGTGATATCATAGACATAGTTCAATGTACAGTTCACAGGGTTGCTGAAGGAATTCTGACCTACAAACTGGTTTATTAGTCCCATCACCCCCAATATCCTTCAGTGACTTCCTTTTCCATCCAGCACAGTACCAAACTCTTCCATCTGATACTCAGGCTGGCCATAGTTGGCTCTTGTCCACCTCTTCAGGCCCATCTCCTCCCCCGCAGACCAACACTTCCTTCTTAAAATGCTGTTTCTTAGCAAATGTCTACAGCTGTATTTGCAGAGAACCATGTGGGCATCTACTTAAAGTTCCAAAGCAAAGAGCAACTCTTACATTAACCACTGAATTTTGTACACATGAATCAAAATTTAGATTTGAAGTAACATTCAAAAATGCCAGTTTTATGTCAGTTGTATCCTTTATGATGAATTAGATTTAGGAAAATGATGTTTTATTAGCATTTCTTGCTTAGGGAATGTAGTATTATAATGGGAAGGACAATAATGAAGCATGAAGTCTTTAGAAAGAGATGCAGTTTTTAATATGCTAACTTCTAATTTATGTGCTTTGTGCATAATTTCAAAATGATATTTCTTTGGTTCCACTGTTGAGCCCTTATGTACTTTCTCATCTAATTTGAAAGCATGTTCTCTCATAGTTTGCAGAAGCTTATAATTTACTAAATAACAAATCTGAAATGTAATATTTGACTTTATGACTACTACTTTGTGTAACTAAAATTATATAGTTAAAATATTTAAAAATTATGTTCTTAAAATGGTATGATTTAAGATTAGGGCCATTAAATCTTTAAAACTAATTAAAAACAAGAATATTTAAGTTAATTATCTGAATTATTTTTTAAAATAATAGGTACAGCCATAGTGCCGAAGTTCAAGTTCGACTTCAGTTCTTGACTTGTGTGTTTTCAACTCTGGGATCACCTGATCATTTCAGTAAGTTTTTTAATCAGTACTTTAATCAGCTTTTACATCTGTATTGATTCTTGCAAGAGTCCAGTTAAATTTTCTGATGCCTTTAGATTTCAGTAGTGATTAAATTATTCCTAATATGAATGTCCTCTGAGTAAGTGTGGCAATATAAGCATGACACTGACACAGTCTTGCTTCAAACTGTGAAAATTCCATTTTCTCAATGGATAAATGGCTTATTTCAAAAAACAATATTCAGGATAGGAGAACATACTTTAGGGTTACTATATCTTTTATTACCATTGCTTATAAAATCTTCTTAGCACTCCATTTGTAAACAGCCACTCTTTACATATTATTATTGGTACTAATCTTATGCAAAATTACTTGGCTTAGTAGATGATAAAGATGTTTAGTTTCATGTTAATTTTTTAAAAATTTAACTGAAGTTTAGATTAAATCTCAAAATCAATTTCATAAGCAGTTAATCTTGAACAAAAAGTTAGAGCTTGGTCTGGTGTATTCAGAGTGTAGACCGTATTCAAATCCACATGCTAGATGTTCTTCCAGGAGAGGAGGAAGCCTAATTTCTTTTGGCCAGACCTCCTTTTCTCTTATGAGACTGTGTTGTCTTAATTTGCACACTTTTTTTGTGTGTCCATGTCAACAAACCTCACTTGTTAGAAGGACGTTTTCTTTCTTTAGCTATGATTAACATACTCAAACTGGTGAGTGTCTTTGCTAGCCTGAGAGGTGTCATCAACACTCTTTTAACTTGATATCTGTGTTTGAGGTACACCTGTGTTTATCTTAATGTCTAAGTCTGTAATTTCTTCTTTAAGTTAAGCTATTTGTAACAAATGCCACTAGCATTGTGATACCGACAGATTTCAAATGAAGGCATCTGTTTTTGACAGGGAACTTTCATGTTAGGTCATTTATCATACCCATTATGACTGAACATACAAGAAATAATATAGAAGAACATTTTCATACTTGGAGAAGTCAAATCAAAACAAATACTGTCAGTATAAATATTTTAACACGACCATTAAGTTTCATGTTTTGTTTAGATTCTCATAGGATACTGTTGACTATTTTTTTTATTATTAAGGTATTATTGATATATACTCTTATGAAGGTTACACATGAAAAACAATGTGGTTACTACATTCACCCATATTATTGAGTCCCCTCCCATACCTCATTGCAGTCACTGTCCATCAGTGTAGTAAGATGCCACAGAGTCACTGTTTGCCTACTCTGCTTCCCTGTCTTCCTCATGATTGCCCCCACACCGTGTGTGCCAATCATAATACCCCTCAAACCCCTTCTCCCTCAATTTCCACATGCCCTCCACCACCCCTTCCCTTTGGTAACCACTAGTCCCTTCTTGGAGTCTGTGAGTCTGCTGCTTTTTTGTTCCTTCAGTTTTGCTTCGTCATTATACTCCACAAATAAGGGAAGTCATTTGGTACTTGTCCTCCGCTTGGCTTATTTCACTAAGCATAATATCTTCCACCTCCATCCATGTTGTTGCAAATGGTAGGATTTGTTTCTTATGGCTGAATAATATTCCATTGTGTATATGTACCACATCTTTATCCATTCATCTACTGATAGACACTTAGGTTGCTTCCATATCTTGGCTATTGTAAATAGTGCTGCAATAAACATAGGGGTGCATATGTCTTTTTGAATCTGAGAACTTGTATTCTTTAGGTAAATTCCTAGCAATGGAATTCTTGGGTCAAATGGTATTTCTATTTTTAGTTTCTTGAGGAACCTCCATACTGCTTTCCACAATGGTTGAACTACTTTATATTCCCATCAGCAGTGTAGGAGGGTCCCCCTTTCTCCGCATCCTCACCAGCATTTGTTGCTTGTCTTTTGGATGTTGGCCATCCTAACTGGTGTGAGGTGATATCTCATTGTGGTTTTAATTTGCATTTCTCTGATGATTAGTGATGTGGAGCATCTTTTCATGTGCCTGTTGGCTATCTGAATTTCATCTTAGGAGAATTGTCTGTTCATATCCTCCGCCCATTTTTTAATCCAGGTATTTCCTTTTTGGGTGTTGAGGCATGTGAGCTCTTTGTATACTTTGGATGTTAACCCCTTGTAGGATATGTCATTTACAAATATATTCTCCCATACTGTAGGATGCCTTTTTGTTTTGCTGATGGTGTCCTTTTTAGCTTGATGTAGTCCCATGTGTTCATTTTTGCTTTTGTTTGCCTTGCCTAAGGGGATGCGTTCAGGAAAGAGTTGGTCATGTTTATATTCAGGAAATTTTTGCCTATGTTGCCTTCTAAGAGTTTTATGGTTTCATCGCTTACATTCAGGTCTTTCATCCATTTCAAGTTTACTTTTGTGTATGGGGATAGACAATATCCAGTTTTATTCTCTTCCACGTAGCTGTCCAGTTTTGCCAACACCAGCTGTTGAAGAGGCTGTCATTTCCCCATTGTAAGTCCATGGCTCCTTTATCGTGTATTAATTGACCATATATGGTTGGGTTTATATCAGGGCTCTCTATTCTGTTCCTCTGGTCTATGGGTCTATTCTTGTGCCAGTACCAGATTGTCTTGATTACTGTGGCTTTGTAGTAGAGCTTGAAGTTGGGGAGTGTAATCCCTCCCCTGCTTTATTCTTCCTTCTCAGGATTGCTTTCGCTATTTGGGGTCTTTTGTGGTTCCATATGAATTTTAGAACTATTTGCTGTAGTTCATTAAAGAATGCTGTTGGTATTTTGATAGGAATTGCATTGAATCTGTAGATTGCTTTAGGCAGGATGGCCATTTTGACAATATTCTTCCTATCCATGAGCACTGGATGTGTTTCCATTTATTGGTATCTTCTTTAATTTCTCTCATGAGTGTCTTGTAGTTTTCAGAGTGTAGGTCTTTCACTTGCTTGGTTAAGTTTATTCCTAGGTATTTTATTCTTCTTGATGCAATTGTGAATGGAATTGTTTTCCTGATTTCTCTTTCTGCTAGTTGGTCGTTAGTCTATAGGAATGCAAGAGATTTCTGTGTATTAATTTTGTGTCCTGCAACTTTGCTGAATTCATATATTAGATCTGGTAGTTTTGGAGTGGATTCTTTAGGTTTTTTATGTATAATATCATGTGATCTGCAAACAGGGACAGTTTAACTTCTTCCTTACCAATCTGGATGCCTTTTATTTCTTTTGTGTTGTCTTGATTGCCGTTGTGAGGACATCCAGAACTCTGTTGAATAAATGTGGAGAGATTGGGCATCCTTGTCTTGTTCCCGATCTTAAAGGAAAGGCTTTCAGCTTCTTGCTGTTAAGTGTGATGTTGGGTTCATCATGTATGGCCTTTATTATATTGAGGTACTTGCCCTCTATACCCATTTTGTTGAGAGTTTTTATCATGAATGGATCTTGAATGTTGTTGAATGCTTTTTCAGTATCTATGGAGATGATCATGTGGTTTTTGTCCTTTTTTTTGTTGTGATGGATGATGGTGATGGGTTTTCTAATATTGCACCATCTTTTGTGTTCCTGGAATAAATCCTACTTGATCATGAGGGATGATCTTTTTGATGTATATTTGAATTTGGTTTGCCAATATTTTATTGAGTATTTTTGCATCTGTGTTCACCAGGGATATTGTTCTGTAATTTTCCTTTTTAGTAGTGTCTTTGCCTGGTTTTGGTATTAGAGTGATGCTTGCCTCATAGATAGAGTTTGGAAGTATTCCCTCCTCTTGCACTTTTTGGAAAACTTTGAGGAGGGAGGACAGGTATTAGGTCTTCACCAAATGTTTGATAACATTCAGCAGTGTATCCATCTGGTCCACGGGTTTTGTTCTTGGGTAGTTTTTTGATTACTGATCAAATTTCATTGCTGGCAGTTGGTCTGTGCAGATTTTCTGTTTCTTTCCAGGTCAGCATTGGAAGGTTGTATTTTTCTAAAAAGTTGTCCATTTCTTCTAGGTTATCCAGTTTGTTAGCATATAATTTTTCATAGTATTCTCTACTAATTCTTTTTATTTCTGTGGTGTCCATGGTTATTTTTCCTTTCTCATTTCTGATTCTGTTTATGTGTATAGACTCTTTTTTTCTTGATAAGTCTGGCCAGGTGTTTGTCTATTTTATTTATTTTCTCAAAAAACCAGCTCCTGCTTTCATTGATTCTTTCTATTATTTTGTTCTTCTCGATTTTATTTATTTCTGCTCTAATTTTTATTATGTCCCTCCTCCTACTGTCCTTGGGCCTCATTTGTTTTTCTTTTTCTAGTTTTGTTAATTGTGAGTTTAGACTGTTCATATGGGATTGTTCTTCTTTCCTGAAGTAGGCCTGTGTTGCAATATACTTCCCTCTTAGCATGGCCTTCACCACGTACCACAGATTTTGCTGTGTTGTATTATTGTTGTCATTTGTCTCCATATATTGCTTGATCTCTGTTTTTATTTGTTCAATGATCTATTGGTTACTTAGGTTAAGTGTCCATATGTTCTTGGGATTTTTCATTTACTTTGTGTAATTTATTTCTAGTTTTATTCTTTTGTAGTCTGAGAGGCTGGTTCATACAATTTCCATATTTTTTAATTTACTGAGGCTCTTTTTGTGGCCTAGTAGATGATCTATTCTTGAAAGTGTTCCATGTGCACTTGAGAAAAATGTGTATTCTGCTGCTTTTGGGTGTAGAGTTCTGTAGATGTCTGTTAGGTCCATCTGTTCTAATGTGTTGTTCAATGCCTCTGTCTCCTTACTTATTTTCTATCTGGTTTACCTGTCCTTTGGAGTGAGTGGTGTGTTGAAGACTCCTAGAATGAATGCATTGCATTCTATTTCCCCTTTTAATTTGGTATTTGTTTTGCATATGTTGATGCTCCTGTGTTGGGTGCATAGATATTTATATTGGTTATATCCTCTTTTTGGATTGACCCCTTTATCATTATGTAATGTCCTTTTTTGTCTCTTGTGACTATCTTTGTTTTGAAGTCTATTTTGTCTGATAACAAGTACTGCAACTCCTGCTTTTTTCGCCCTATTAGTTGCATGAAATATCTTTTTCCATCCCGTCACTTTCAGTGTTTGTATGTCCTTGGGTTTGAAGTGAGTCTCTTGTAGGCAGCCTTTAGACAGATCTTATTTTTTTATCCATTCAGTGAGTCTATGTCTTCTGATTGGTACATTCAGTCCATTTACATTTAGTTTGATTATTGACAGGTATGTACTTATGGCCATTGCAGGCTTTAGATTTGTGGTTACCAAAGGTTCAAGGGTAACTTCCTTAGTATCTAAGAGTGTAACTTAACTCACTGAGTATGCAATTGTAAGCAGAATCTAAAGGTTCTTTTTGTTTTCTCTCCTTTTTTCTTCCTCCTCCATTCTATATATATTAGGTATCGTGTTCGTACTCTTTGTCTATCCCTTCACTGACTTTGGGGGTAGTTGATTTAATTTTGCATTTGCTTCATAATTAGTTGTTCTAATTTCTTTACTGTGGCTTTATTACCTCTGGTGATAGCTATTAAACCTTAGGAACACTTCCATCTATAGCAATCCCTCCAAAATACGCTGTGGAGACATTTGCAGGAGATAAATTCTCTCACCTTTTGCTTATCTGGGAATTGTTTAATCCCTCCTTCAAATTTAAATGATAAAATCTTGAAGCATATTCTTGGTTCAAGGCCCTTGTGTATCATTGCATTTAATATATTATGCCACTCCTTTCTGGCCTGTAAGGTTTCTGCTGAGAAGTCTGGTGATAGCCTGATGGGTTTTCCTTTGTATGTGATTCTTTTTTCTCTCACTGGCTGCTTTTAATAGTCTGTCCTTACCCTTGATCTTTGCCATTTTAATTATTATATGTCTTGGTGTTGTCTTCTTTGGGTCCCTTCTTTTGGGAGATCTGTGCACCTCCATGGCCTGAGAGACTATGCCCTTCCCGAGATTGGGGAAGTTCTCAGCAATTACCTCCTCAAAGACATTTTCTATCCCTTTTTCTCTCTCTTCTTTTTCTGGTACCCCTATAATACGAATGATGTTCCGTTTGGATTGGTCACACAGTTCTCTCAATATTCTTTCATTCCTAGAAATCCTGTTTTCTTTCTGTGCCTCAGCTTCTTTGTATTCTTCTTCTCTAATTTATATTTCGTTTATAGTCTCCTGCACTGTATCTAATCTGCTTTTACAACCCTCCATTGTATTCTGTAATAATTGGATCTCTGTCCTAAATTCGTTCCTGAGTTCTTGAATATTTTTCTGTACCTCCATGAACATGTTTATGATTTTTATTTTGAAACCTCTTTCAGGAAGATTGATGAGTTCAATTTAATTTGATCCTTTTTCTGGTGTTTGTGGGATTTTGGTTTGAACCAGGTTCCTTTGACATTTCATATTTGTATTGGGCACCCTCTAGTGCCCAGAACCTCTACTACCTGGAGCTGCTCAGCCTCTTGACTGATGTCGGAGTTCGCAGGGGAGAGGTGCTGGTGCCTGTGAGGGAGGAAAGAGCTGTTTCCTGCCTTCTGGCTGTTATGCCTGTCTCCTCTGCCAGAGCCAGTGGGCTGAACACACAGGTATAATAAGCCTCTTTACGTTTGTAGCTGCTGAAGGCTGGGCTTCCCTCTAGCTGGCTTGACACCAAGGCAGGGCCTACCGGTTTGCGAGCCGGGTGCCAGCTGGCCGGGAGGAAGTTGCAGCAGGCTGCGTATCATGGTGGGGGCCTTGGTTCTGCATAGGTAGCCAGTGGGATGGAGAGCCTGAAGCTCCTGAAAGTTCCCAACCTGGTGGGCCGAATGAGCCTGGACAATTTTGTCTACCTGTCCTTTCTCCTGAGCAGTAAGCTCCATACAATCCTTGCCCCTTTAGCAGCCCTCTTGTTGTTAGAAAGTCTCTCAGACTGCCCACCTTTGTTTTGTCCCAGAGCAGCTATATATGGATCCCTATTTTCCATAAGCGGCTGGAATCTCAGTCTCTCCAGGTATTCCACCTGTCTTAGCTTTCCAACACCACTAATCACCAGAGCACCATGCAATGTAAGTTCATGCTCCCAGAGCAGATCTCTAGGACTGGGTGTTCAGCAGCCCCAGGCCTCTCCTCCCTTCTCACTCCCTCCCACTGGTGAGCTGGAGTAGGGGAAGGGCTTGCATCCTATGGGATCACAGCTCTGGTACATTACCTTGTTCTGTGAGATCTGTTCTTTTCTCCAGGTGTATGCTGTCTGGCACAGCCTTCTTTCCTGTTGCTCGTTAAGGGTTAGTTGTATTAACTATATTTCCATATTATATGTGGTTTTGAGAAGACCTCTGTCTCACCTCTCATTCTGCCATCTTTAATCCTCTCCCAATGTTAACTTTTCTTACTAGTATTTGAATAATGAAAGAATGATTTTGCTGCTCCCATTCCAGGGAGCACAGTAAAGCTTCGTGTGGATTAGCTTAACAATAGCTACTGTCCAGATAGAGTCAAATTGAAAACTTCACTTTTCCCACATCAAAATTTTCCTTCTCTCGTTGGTACAGTTCCTCCTGTCAGGTATAATATCGTTACCCCAAAGTTAAATTCGGTAAGTTGAGAACTGATTTTCAATATACCAATAGCTATATTCTTTTCAAAACTTCATAACGAAAGCTTATACATTTCCTGTTGAATGTGGATTAGTAATTCAGCCATTTATGAATATACTTCTGTTTTAGCACGTAGTTTACTATAATCTGGATAGTACTACTACTTGCCTTTTTTCCTTTTTTTAAGTCTCATTTGTTTTCTTCACTTTTTTCTCTCTTATTAATTACTATGCTTTGTCATAATGTATATTAATGGTTGTTTGTGTGTTGGCTTCCGGGGGTACAAGTTCTTCTTCGAAGAAATAATCTATGCATTGACTCATTTGTGTGAGGAACTGATAGGATATTTTTTCTGGTCAAACTCTTTTGACTGATTTTTCTGCTAGATAAATATTTTCTGAGGTATTTTTGCATATTCTTGATCTCATATACTTTTTCCCAAGAAAGAGAGAGGTTTATTAGTATACTTTAATTCCCTTCTGATTCTAGGGAACAGCCCCCAATTTAGGATATACTTTATCCTTGTGATATACTTTAGAAATCCCTGTAATGCTTGTATTCTGCCCCTTTTGGTTATCTCATTTATCTGTATTCAGACTTGTGGTTGCCTGTGGTGACCTCTCTTTGGTTATGAATAGTTATTCTGACTTCCTTCTGTCACACTCAGGAATTAATTTAATAAGTGGATCAGAGTACTGTACAAATTTCATTTCATTACATGGGCTTCCCAGCTAATTGTATCTCCTGATGTGTTGCTCTTCCCTGTTTAGGCAGTCAGTTAATTCCATTTTCCTTTATTCAACCTATGGATTCTTTTTTTTTTTTCCATAGTTTTCAAACATAATACTTTTTGGCATTTATTGTTTATCTTCTGTGTGTATTGAATGAGCTTTGAACATAGTATACACTCTATTTTTAAACCTTAAACCTTAGAACTGATTCATCAACTTTGAGGGTTACTTCCCCTTTGTCCTGTTTACTATGATACAGTGATGTTCATATTTTAAGGAGAATGATTTTCGAGACCAAGTGAATCTTCTAGGATATAGTGTAAGTTGGGTGTTTTTAAGTAATTTATACATGGATTATATTTAACTACATTTTGAAAGCATAAATTATATGAAATCTCCCACAAAATAATTTTTATAAGATGGTATAAAATATCTCCTTTTCATTTCTAGATATGTTGGTGCTTCTAATACATTGAATTAGAACCAAAATGTTGTATATACTGTGATTCAAAATTTGTAATTTTTATCTAGGGTTAAGTTTAGAGCAAGTTGACATTTTATGGCATTGTTTAGTAGAAGATTCAGAGTGTTATGATGATGCACTTCATTGGTTTTTGAATCAAGTTCGAAGTAAAGATCAGCATGCTATGGGAATGGAAACCTATAAACATCTTTTCCTGGAGAAGGTAATTTTATTTCTTGACAGTTATATTGTTTTTCCGTATTTCCTTTTTACCTCTTAAAATGTAGACTGTCATGTTCATTTTTCTTCTTGACAGTTTTAAAAAATAGGCAAGTGTGCTGTTTTTCAGCAGTCCTCACATAGTTTTGCCACCAGATTTTGCTTTAATTTTGTCCTCTACAGTGTTTGTATGTAAATGAATAGTTTATATATACAAAAATGTTCCTTAGCTAAAGTACTTAAAATAACAGTAATTAGAATAGCTCTTCATGTAAACACTAATAAGAAATGTGGGACTTTTGGTGTTTATTTTTTCTTAATCATTAATAACATTGTAGTTCAATTTTCAAACATGGTGCCCATACCCACTAGTGTGAGAGCTTTATTCTGTGACTCTCTTCCTTAGTTCAGTGTGATTTTTTAGCTAGTCTTCTGGCTGATATAAGCCAATGTTCAGATTTTTTGTGGATCTTTGGAAAGGCATATTTAGGAAGTGCTGGCATGCTACTGAAGAACATTCTTCTATCCAATTTTTGTTGTTATCAGATGCCACAATTAGTTTGGGTAGTAATTTTCTACTTGACTTTTGAGACATCAATCATAATGAAGCAATAAAGTTTTTATTTTTGCAATTATAAAGACCGTGAACTCTCACATTATCTCTTTGGTAGAGTTGAGTGTGTATGAGTTTTGGTACCTATACCTAAATCACTTAATTAAATCAAGGCAAATCTACAAATACACCTTTAGGTATCTTAATTTCAAGCTCTGATCTATACATGAACTGTACACATAGCTACACATCTTATAAATGTGTATCATATAGGTATATAATGAATGACAACATTTTTTATTCATTTCCTCTAATTTGAGTCTGCGTATATCTCAAAAATAGAAATATGGATCAGACAGGTTTCAGTTATGACCTGGAAACATTTTTCACTAAATTATTATTTGATTTTTGAAATCATACTAAAAATCTGAGCTGATACATTTTTTTCATAATGTTTTCAATAAAATTTTTTTAGCTTAAATCTGGTAAGTTAAATTCATTAAAATCTGTTAGCTTAATTATCACACTAAACAAACTTAAAAACTTTTTTTTTTTTTAAGATGCCCCAGCTAAAACCTGAAACAATTAGCATGACTGGCTTAAACCTATTTCAACATCTCTGTAACTTGGCTCGATTGGCTACCAGTGCCTATGATGGTGGCTCAAACTCTGAGGTATGGATTCAGACTTGTCATATCATTAGGTCAGTTTGTAGAATTTTTGTTTTATTCCCCCAAATTAGATTACTGAATTTTATATAGTCTGCCAAGCACTGAATTAACCAACTATGAAGACTTTTATTCTTAGGCTTTAAAAAGTTTTCTATTTTGGTTTTAAGAAGCTTGAAAGGTTGAAAAAGTAAATTTGTTGATACTGCATTACCCAAAGATAATCTTGGTTGTGTTTAATGAAAATTTACTACGTTTTCCTTGATTAATAGAGAATAGGCCATCTGAGTGTTCTTTTTGTCCCCTGAAAGCTCCCAGATAAACATAATCAAGTAGCTTTGTCAAGTAGAAAGTTGATTTGTGTAAAATATGATTTTTATGCCCTTTGTTTTAGCCAACCTGTTAGTTGCTCTTGGGCAGCTCCAGAGTTCCTGTTGGTATCCTCTGTTGTAGAATGGAGTCTACATAAATCATCTCTGACCATGAGTCATGACAAACAGTTCATTAACTGAAGACTCTTACAAATAGTCTTCTCTCTCTCTGGCTTAGGTTTGCTACTTGGGGGGCCTCTAGGTTTTGTTCAGTGTATTATTCCTAGACTCCCCTAACACAAACTATAATTTGAAAGTCTTCCTCATTGGGCATTCCAGTTTATCAATGATAGCTTTGACTTATGTAGTATCTGCTCATTTTTCATTAATTTTCTTCAGAAGTTGGAGTTGTTGAAGGAGAAAGGTAGGGAAAACTGATGTTAATCTATGTGGTAAAGAGTAATTGTAATTGTATCTAGAATGCTTTCATAGTGTTTTCCTACCTTCTTCCCTTGTTTGAATAATGGGTGTTTTTGTTTGTTTTTGGTCCTATAACTGTCAGTTTGTTAATTTCAGACAGCCAGACAGATCTAATTTGCCTAGGAAGTAGTCATGCCCCAATTTGAGGTGATACTGCTTTTCAAGTTGTTATGAATGCTAAGGCTATTCAGTAACCTATCAGAAAAATATCTTTGTTTACCCTGCCCAACTTTGGAGAAGTTTAAGTTTGCTTTTTCTGAGGTTTTAGTGAAAATATTCTCTTTGTCATCTCATAGTTAACATCATAAATTTAAGCATCAACTTGGGTTAGCCTATCTCCGTAATTTTCTGTGAATACCTGAAAGTAGTGGTTCTATCAGAATAAGTTGGGCAGAAGCATTGGAACATTGTTATACTAATAATTATGTGTGTGTTGTTTTTATTCCTTTGTACATGTTTGAGTGTTTGGGGACTTGAGATTTACCCACCGTGTAATCATAAGTTTTAGTTAAACTGTGTGTGTGTGTGTGTGTGTGTGTGTGTGTGTGTGTAGTTAGCTGCTCTATAAATAAGGATTTTTAGACAAATACAGGTATATATCAGTAACTGAGGAAATTTCCAAGGCTATATCTTTTTTATTTTTTAATAATTCTTTAATAGGAGTTGCCCTTTAAATACTTTATAGGATATTAAAACTCTTTGATATTTGTATGACCTTTAAATTTGTTAGTCTTCTAATCATTTACATTGTTCAACAAATAGTAATATTTATATCTGTAAAATATGTATTAAAAAATACATATAAATGTCCTAATTTTCTTTCTTAGCTTTGTGGTATGGACCAATTTTGGGGCATTGCTTTAAGAGCACAATCTGGTGATGTCAGTCGTGCAGCTATCCAGTATATTAATTCCTATTATATTAATGGTGAGTGATTTGAAGTGTTGTCTAATGGATAATTTTTTATGGGAGGATTTTCTTAGCTACAATTCATTGTCTTCAATGTAGTTAAACAGGAATAAAAGATTGATATTCACATATCTAAACATCTGATTTTTAGGTAAAACGGGTTTGGAGAAGGAACAAGAATTTATTAGTAAATGTATGGAGAGTCTAATGATAGCTTCTAGCAGTCTTGAACAGGAATCACACTCCAGTCTCACTGTAATAGAAAGAGGACTCCTTATGCTGAAGACACATCTGGAAGCATTTAGGAGAAGGTAATTTTTTAGATACCGTATTATTAGAATGAATTTCAAGCTTTTTCATTATTAACATGTCCAAAAGTACTCTTAAATTAAACTAAATGTTCTCTTGGGGGCAGGTGGAAAGCATAAACATAACCAAAGTGAAGGGTTAGCAGTAGAAGTAATTTTTATTCATAATATGTACCATTCGCTGTGGAATAAGCAATATAGGTTCCTAATAAATATTGTGGAGCTTTAAAAATCATTAGACTGAGGAAATATGCATGAATAAGAATATTTAGACAGAATTCTATCTCTAAAAAAGTATTACTATTAAAAGGCAGAACACAGCGCCAAGAAAACTTTCACTAAAACCCTCACCAAGAACATCAAATAATCTCTCATAGTTGAATCATTTGTTTCATTTGCTGTTTTTTTTTCTTCCTGGACTAGGAGACAGTATTTTAATTTTGAATTTCCATTTACCATGGAAACATCAAAAATTCTGTGTTAATGAATATCTGTATAATTAATTTAGACATACCCTGTGTAATACAGAAATAAAGCAAAAATTAACATTTATGAATGTATCGGCTGAAATGAAAGGTGAGTAGTTTTAATTAAGAAATTATTTGTTAAAAATCATGAGTAAATGTAAAAGTACAAAGAACTGTGTCAAAAAGATGTTAAAATTAATAACTTTCAACTTCAGAGCTTAGTTTGATAATGAAAAGTCATACAATTGATATTTATTGACATCTTATTTAAAATATCAGGATATATTGAATAATTAAGATATTCTACCCATTCCTTATAAATATTATGGTTCCATGATTTAAAACATTAGGGCATTGCAGATTTCTCTATTTTAATTATAATTACAGTTTTGGGGGATTCTACTTAAATAATTCCTTCTGTTTTTAAAGAGTGTACAAGAGAACTCCAGAGTTTTTTGCATAGAAACTTCACACTGCCTCATAACTTTTATCACTTAAAAAAAAATAAATATAAATAAGCAAATGTGATGATGTGTCTTATTCAAATTAATACATACTAATTACAAAATGCAGGTATTATGTATTAAGGTAATACTCTTAGAAAATGAAAATTATTGTAGTCTTTCTCTTCCTGTCATTGATAGTTACTATTAATGATACGATACATATTTTTCCAAAATTTTCTGTATGTTACAGGGTCTGTAGACAACAAACCAAAAAGGCCCTGTTGGTTCAAACCCTTAATCCTCACACAATGTTACCAGTGTATTTAAAATAAATACATACTTTAAAAATTAAAGTCTTTAAAGTAAATTAAATTTCTTAACGTTCAGTGGTGCTTTTTATAAATTTAATAAATTTAGTTCAAAAATCCCTCCTCAGATATACAGAATTTTTTTCTAACTCAGGAGAAAATTGATTGTAGTGTCCTTGATAGACATCTTTATATTAGTTCATATTTTACTCCAAAAGTTAATGTTGGTGTTATGTAAATACTTATTTTTTGTGTGGCAAGTAGAGAAGCTAGGGAACAGAAGTGAGTATTAAAAAATCTAAGACTAGTTTAAAAATTAGGTATTTCCATACAAATCTGTGTGGAATACATCATTGTGCTATTTCAATTGCTACTACTAATTTAAAATTGCCTAACCTTTCTAGAATGAAAATACAAAGTGATTATTGCATATTTGTGTATTCCTTATATTAAGATAGTAAATAAAATGCCTTTTAAAAGGAGATAAGTTTATAATCTTAAACAGTAGTTCTCAACTAGAAGCAGTTTCCTGGGGGACATTAGATAATGTCTGGAGACATTTTTGATTATCACAGTTTAAGGGAGAAAGGGGGGTAGTACTGGTAGTGGGGTAGAGACCAAGGGTGCTGCTAAATATCCACCAGAGCTTGAGACAGCACATGACCCATAACAGAATTACCTGGCCCCAAAAGATTAAAATTACTCTTTTGCTCAGTCATGTAACCTGGTCATTGGATCACTTCTAGGAAATCAAGTCCATTAACCTCTTAATTGTCTTCCTTCTATTCCAGAGGTGCTGATTAGATTTAGATGTTGCTACTTTCTTAACTAAATTCAGGTACCCTGAATCCTGTCTTCCACAACTGAAAATAAGTTAGAATATTGACAGATATTTAGTGAGTGTCATGCTAGATGAAATACTGAAATACCAGTCTTTGTAATTTTAACAGTCATGAAATCTGCTCTCAAATTTGGTTAGGCTGCCTAACATCAAATTACTACAATAAATTTCTCTCTCTGAAAAATATTTCCTAATACCTTTTTTTCCTCTTCTGAATGTAGGAGGGAGAGTTTGCCATTTCACTGGATTAGTTTGTCTCTTTGAAGTCATCCTGCCTCTACTACTCCCTTCCCCCCTTTAAAAAAATGCTTTTAATGGGATTTTTTCTTCCTCAGTAATTTTTCTTGGTAACTTTTTTTTTAAAGAACTCTTAGCTATATGCATTTAAGTTTGATTCAATATAATGAATCTAAACTTAAAATAGGTGATATAGGGTGGAATGTGCTAGAAACTTGTAGGGTTTTCATTTTGTAAAATATTAAAAACTTCTATAACGTTAAAATGATTTAAAATTGTATCCTTCCTGCGTGTGGTTTTTGTGTGTTTTAGGTTTGCCTATCACCTCAGACAGTGGCAAATTGAAGGCACTGGTATTAGTAGTCATTTGAAAGCACTGAGTGACAAACAGTCCCTTCCTCTAAGGGTTGTATGCCAGCCAGCTGGACTTCCTGACAAGGTAGTTTTAATTTCCAAATTTTTAACATTTCCCAGTTCAAATAACTGTTCTTTTTGTATTTTTAAATTGGTTGCATCTCATATTTCAGATGACTATTGAAATGTATCCTAGTGACCAGGTAGCAGATCTTAGGGCTGAAGTAACTCATTGGTATGAAAATTTACAGAAAGAACAAATAAATCAACAAGCTCAGCTTCAGGAGTTTGGTCAAAGCAGCCGAAAGGGAGAGTTTCCTGGTAAGTCCAACAGTTCAGATTTTCATATTTCCTAGGTTTTATTACATATTAACATTGGACCTTTATTTTGAAGACTCCAGCCATGTTCATGGCTCCCCTCCCCTCCTCTTCGTGTGGAACTGTTGATTCTTAGGCAAGAGGCAAGAGTTAAGAGTTACTTCAGATGGTATTTGCAAACATTTATAAGTATACTACTCAAGTACCTCAATATTTTTTGTATTTTGATATATTTCTTTTTTTTTTGGAGCTATGAAAATAATACCCCCTTAAATCCCACCTGTGCATCTCCTATTCCTTCCAAAAAACTATCACTTTGAGAAGTATTTCATGTGGGCCTAAAGGTATATTTGATTGTTCCCTTACTATTACCACTTATGCATTTTTATTGTTTTCCCATAGCTTATAAAATATGAGCTAATTAGAGGAACAACCAGGAAAACTGGTACTTTTTACATGTAATTTGAAGGTCTGAATTATAACAGACTAAATACATGTTTAGGGGAAGGAAAGATCTTCAAGTTTTAATAGGACTTTTAACCTGCCTATGTATGGAGTGATAATTCTTTGGCATCAATTAGTAAGCTGACAGTTTTACTACAGCATGCTTAAGATGAAACCACATGTATCTTCTAATGCATCAGATCTTAAATTTTGTTCTTTAATAATTAGCAAATATTCTTGGAATAAAAGAATAGATGTAGAAAAGTCTCCTTTCCTACCTCCATCTCTGAATCATCCATTCCGTTATCCTGAAGCAAATGTTGTGGATTTCTTGCATAGCCTTCAAGAGATACCAAGATACTATGTAAGAATGTTCATATATGTATAACTTAAAACAAATGGTAGTATTTCTTCGTGTGGAACTGTTGATTCTTAGGCAAGAGTTAAGAGTTACTTCAGATGGTATTTGCAAACATTTATAAGTATACTACTCAAGTACCTCAATATTTTTTGTATTTTGATATATTTCTTTTTTTTTTGGAGCTATGAAAATAATACCCCCTTAAATCCCTTTTAAAAAGTCTTTTATACTTTGCTTATAGTGTTTAACATTATCTTAGATAACATTTCATATTAGTACATGTAGAAAGTTACCTCACTGTTTTTAAGATCTGCAAAGTCCATAATATGATACCATCATTTGTTTTACCTATCTCTATTAATGGACATTTAAGTTGTTTACATTCTTTTGCTATTACAATCAGTGCTACAGAGAATATCCTTAGACATACATTAATTAAGACATGTTGGCTGACTACCTAGTTATGGAATTTTCAGGTCCAAAGGTATCTGCTTTTGTTATGCTGAAAGGTATTACACATAAAGAAGAGAATATGCAATGAGTGATAAAATGAAAACCACCCATGTACCTTCTGTCTTAATTGAGAACTAGGACAGTAGTAGAAGCTACTTGTGTGTCCCCCTCCCTAATATCCTTTCCATTCCCCTTAACACTATCTTGGTTTTTTAGTTTTCTATTCTTCTATTATTTAGTCTTCTAGTTTATTTAATCTTTAGCTTATTGTTTTATCTCCAGTGTATATATACCTAAACAATATATTTAGTCTTGTGAAACAGATAAAGCCAGCACAAACATGATAGGTTAAGGAAAAGGAGAGTATGGCTGCTATCAGTCAAAGGATCACAGAAGAAAATAAGCTAAAGAGGATGTACTTTCAATTTTTCTAAAGGTCTATAATGCCTCATTTGAGGATATCAGTAGGAAAGTTCTCAAGTATAGGTCTTGACATAATTAAGACATCTCAGTGTCATAATATTGACAAGATGCTGGGACATTTAACAAATATACATAGAGTTTGCCTTTTTTTCCCCCCCCCTTTTTCTGTTCTCTTCATGACCTACTTTAGCTCTCAGAAGGGGAGGTCAAGGTAGAATTTCTTCTGTGACATGAGATGAGTGTCTTCACCTTCAGTAGGATATGGAGGTGAGAGTGGAAACTTCACTAAGCATGTGGTAGAGTCCAGGTACAGATAAAAGGCCTGGCCAAGTTCACTTGCTCAGGTATTCTTCCTCAGATAGAGAAGATATTATGAAGGCAACAAGGATTTTGGTCATTGGCCCCTCAGTCATGCATTTTTCTCGTAACACTGATCCTACTGATGGTCTTCCAGCTCCAGATACACAGTAATAGGATATCCTTTATCATTTTAACCAGTACAGTAGTTCTCTTTGTCTCTGCTGCATTGGATGCTGTTCCCAGTATCCATACATTGTTTTCCTACTTTTTCTTTCTGCCATTTTTTTTCCCACGGAATTTTAGAGGTATTGTTGTGTTGTATTTCTTCTGTTGTTGCTGTTTAGAATTCTGAAGTCATTTTGCTTCCTGATATTTTTTTACATACCCTTTTTTTCCTTTTGTAGAGCTTAATGAGTCTTCTTGTCTTCAGTGTGGCCTGAGCGTGAGTCTGTTTTCAGCAATTGTGATGGATACTATAGAGTTTAGGTTTTTAGTGGGCCCTTTTAGTTTGGCAACTTGTATATTTAAGCTTGGGGAAATTTTCTTGAGTTCATTTGGTTTCCTATCTAATATTTGATCATTTCTCTCTTTTTAGAAATTCTTTATTACATGTTTTATCTTTTGGATTATTCCTAATTTATGTATCTTTTCTCTTTAATTTCTTGGAGTTTTAACTTCCTGAGAAGTGTTCTCAACTTTATTTTGTAACCCTTCTTTTGAGGTTCTCATTTTTGCTGTCATGCTTTTAATATCTAATATCCCTTTTTTGTGTTTTCATGATTGCATTATCTCTTTGAGGTTATTAGAGTTTTTTTTCCTTAATTGTTGAATTTTTAAAAATCCAGACTGGTGGTTCCTGAATTTTAATTAGAATATTTTGCTTATTATCTAATTATTTTCTATTACTTACATCTCTTCTTTTACTCTCTTACCATATATTTACCACTCCATCATTTTTTGTATGTGTAGATTGAAGTTCCCATTTGGTTTCTTTTTCTTTCTCTTTCTCTTTTCTTTTTTCTTTTTCCCTCTCTAATGAATTACTTTTAAACATGGTCTTCAGGTCATGAATTTTCTCTATCTTTGTCTGGAAGAAAAGTTCATCTGTCTTAATTTTTGGAGGATATTTTTACTGGATGTAGAATTCTAGATTAAGAGCCTTTTTTCCCCTTCAGGACTTTATAAATGCTTATAAATGTTTTCTCATTTTATCTTTTGGCTTGCAAGGCTTCTGATAGAAAATCTGGTTTTTCTTATCTTTCATCCTTTGTATACAGGGTATCTTTTTAACTGTGGTACGTTTTACAAAATTTTCTTTAACAGTGATTTTTGAGCAGTTTGATTATTGGTGTCCTTGTTTTTAACTTTGTGTTTATGCAGTTTGGGTTTATTTCACATTCTTGGGTCTGTGTGTTTACAATATTTATCAAATTTGAAAAAGGTTAGCAATTCCATATTTTGTCAAAAACAGGCTTTTTTCCCCTTTCCCCAACCCTAATTTCTGGGCCTCTAGTTAAATGTATCCTGGACTGTTTGTTCATGTCTCATAGATCACTGAGATGTTGATATTTTTCCTTTATTCCTTTACTCCTTTCTTCTTTTCTCTCTTGTTTTTTCCCCCTCTTCTTCTTTTTCTCCCCCTGCCATTTCCTTTGATCTCTTCCCACTTTGGTCAGGTGTTGAGCCTACTTCTCTGCCAAATCAGCATAAATCTATTGATTTATTGAATTTACCGTAATCTGGAATGTTGTAGCTGGTCTTTTTCATATCAGAGTTCTTTTTTTTTTTTTTTCTCCAACTCTATAATCTGTTTTATTTTATTTTGTTGGGTAATAACAGGGAAGAAAGGACTCGATTATTATAAATACATGCTAGTTACTTATGCAACTAAGGCATTAATGAATCTAATTCACGTATTGCTAGGGGAGATGCTGTAGCTTCCTAGAAAGCTACATAGTGTTTTCAGTTACAGAATTTTGCATATTATTAAGCAAGTGGGAATTGATTTTAGTTAGATCTACTTAGACTTGTGCTAAATGAGTATTTTCTTGTGGTTTTTACTGCCTAAGACTAACCTTGGACAGCAGAAAATATTTCAGGAAGTATGCTTACAACTGCATCCACTTTGCTCAAGAAGTGTGTTTAAGCTTAATGTCTATCTGTAGTCATGTATTCATGCCAGCAAATAATTTAACTCTTATAAAAATGTTCACTTAGATTTTCTGCTGTTTTTAAGGAGGCCTCATGGGACCTGTCAGGATGATTTCATCTGGACATGAATTAACAACAGATTATGATGAAAAAGCACTTCATGAGCTTGGTTTTAAGGATATGCAGGTACTAATGAACATGATTTAGATTTTAATCATCTATTGACTGTTATAGTCAGTAATTGAACAAAGTTATACTTCAAAAATCGTATTACTGCTTTTGTAATTAAAATTTTAAGTGAAGTTATTTTATATTTAAGACCTTTATTAAGCCAAAAATGTCATGTGCCTAAGTAAGTGTTGTTTTTTTCCCCATTGCTCTTATTTTTATAGATGGTATTTGTATCTTTGGGTGCACCAAGGAGAGAACGGAAAGGGGAAGGTGTTCAACTGCCAGCATCTTGCCTACCACCCCCTCAGAAGGATAACATTCCGATGCTTTTGCTTTTACAAGAACCTCATTTAACTACTCTTTTTGATTTATTAGAGATGCTTGCATCATTTAAACCACCCTCAGGAAAAGTGGTAGTGGAAGACAGTGAGGTGACTATATCATTTCATTTTTATAAAGTCTTGTTTTCTCTTTCTTTTCAGTGGAAAATAATCTCAGTGAACTCCTAAGAGCAGTAAAACCTAGGAATCCATTTACTATTTAAGGGCCTAATGTGATCCAGGCATACTGTTTTAAGTATTGTTTTACAGGGATCAAAATAGGCATAGTTTCAGCTTTAATTGAATCCAGTTGGAGAGACAGATACTGACATGGCCTAAAAGATAGTTTGAAATAAACTTACAGATAAGTAGTTTCTGATAAAGATAGCTGCTAAGATTGAAACATGACATGTCATTATTAAGGGGTGGTAATAGACACACATTGACATTATTGGTCAGGGAAAATTTCTCTGAGGGAAACCGTACATAATCTGAGCAGCTAAATGAAGAGAATGAGTCATGTTAGTTGCAAATGGGGAGTCCTTCAAATTGGGTTTACTGCTGATCAGAGTGATGAAGCATTACAGATTCACAGAAAAATGAATAGCATGTTTGAAAACCTGGGAGTGTGAGTATAGTGTAATTCTTAGTAAGAGTACAGAAAAGGAGATTGTTATCTATACTATAAAGGATCATGTGAGATTTTTATTTGGATTGCCATCATCATGGAAGGTTTAAAGCAAGAAAATGAGATCCTTTCTGGGCTTTTAGAAACAAAATGTAGGTGTTAGTGTGATAGATGTATGAGAGAAAAGAAAGATGAGAGGTAAGAGGACCAGTTAGTTAATAGGCCACTGTAATAGTCTGTGTGAGGCCTAGACCAGAGTGGAAGCATTCATTTTTTAGCAGATATTTCACTGAACTTTGTGACAAATATGGCATTGTTGATGTGGGATTGTTTTGGTTGCATGAGCCTTGAAAACATTTATAGAAACAGTAAAAATAGTGGGTTTTCACTGTGTATGAGACCCATATTGTAGGACCCTTCAATCATAACATAAAATATAGTCAGATACACTTGGAAGATTTTTTTTCCCCTTCAAATAGTTTTTTGCACTGAGTTCAGTCTTACTTTTTTTGTTTTTTTAACTGGTGTTTACAAAGGAATTAATTCCATTTTACTGAAGAACTCATTGCCATTTCCCCCACTAAACCAAAAGTGGGTTGCTTCTCTTTTTTCTTCAGGGTTATGAAAGGCAAGTTACCTTGAAACTTGGTCTTTAAGATTTCCTTGACTTCGGAGTATTCCAGCTTTATACCACTATACAAAAATAACTTTTTATAGATTTCTTTGGCATTATCTTAGAAAAAATTTTGACAGCATCAGTACTAGAATAAAAAAGATAAAATTCATACTCTGGAACATTATGTAGATACTCTGAGGAAAATTCTAAAATTGTAAATTTTAGATTTTGCTGCTTATTTACCTCTTGGGTGGCGCTTTAGTTTAAAAAATAAAAAAGGAAACATGCCTATTTCCTTGATACTCTCTGAAACATTCTTTAGCTTACTATTATCTCAGCACCTTTACAGAGTTCAAATTTAACAGATGAAAATGGAAAAAATATGTTCTTTAAAATTGTTTGCGTTCTTAATCTCTTCTTGTCTGAAACTGGAAAATAAGGTATGAATTAGCAAAATAAGAGAAACAGGTTACTCTTTTCTCAAATATAAGGTCAAGGATTTAATTCACCAGGTCTTGTAATTTTTAGAATAGTGGGCTGCACAGAGGAAGTAGGTAGTAGTCTTGGTGAAATTTACTTGAATGGCTTTATAAACAGACATTTTCACTTACATTTGAAAAATTTCCTAAGGAAAGTGGTCAGACATACAGGCCACATTTTTTTTCCAGAAGGGTGTTCAACAACAAATTTTAATACTAATTTGATAATAACTTAATTTCTTGAATGAATGTATTTACTATGTAACAAATAGTTTTTCACTTGGAGAACTAAAAATATTATCAAATTTGATAATGAAAGAGGGAGGGTTGAGTTTATTTTCCTCAGTTCTTGTCCCCGCTGCAACAAAGAATTGCAGGGCAGAGACACAGTATTGAAGCAGAGTAAAAGGTTTATTTGATTACACTCCAAGAGAGGATTGGGCCAGAGTCAACACTGACAAAGGCAGATTTACTTGAATGAAGCAGAGAGCAAGGAAAAATAGAGGGAGGAAAGAGAAACTCATTGAACTGCTGCTTGGCATTGGGCATACATAATCCCTTGCCAACGCCTAAAGCCAGTGTCCACTTGGATCTGCATGGTGTGGGAACTAAGTTCCTACCACCAGGATTTGGGGGAGCCTCAGAGCATTGGATGGAGTGAGATTATGTTCTGAGAACTTCCCAAAGGTAAAGCAAGGAAACTTTCAGGCAGGCTACTAAGGAGCATGATCATACAGCTGCAGTTCTGTTTGGGTCAACCAGGTGACAGAAATTTGCAAGCCCCAGATCAGAGCTCTCAGCAGCCCATTTGTACCTGTCTGAAGTAGGATAGAGTGAGTGACCCACTGGAAGACAGGCGAGTGTGGGTAACCTCAGAGAGGAGGCATCCTTAAGGGTTTGAGGTTTGGATTTTTTATAGGGCCTTTTTGGGTAAGGGTCAGCATAGGCATGATGTACACAGATGATTTATAATTCCTTTGGAGTTTTGTCTCAGAGGGTTAGTTAGGTGACTGTTAGTTTGGGACTTCGGCATTCTTTGCCCACATAGGTTTATTTACACTTCTGAGGTCTGTCTCCTGCCCTGGTTACAAAGTTACTTAATTAAGGGGCTGGAGGAAGTGGAAAAACAGCATATAGGTTAAATTAAAGAATAAGCTGGGCCTAAAGTAAATTTTTAAATGGTATGATGTAATTGATGCAGTGAAGACATGAGCTGTGCTCTGAAACTTTTCTTTATCTGGGGAATATCCTGATATTCCAAGTTGCTCCCGTCCTTTGGAACTTCAACTGATTAACTCATTAACTCTAAGTCTTTTCTGGCTTTCTAGTTTTATCTGGTTAACTCTTTGAGTGCCTTTTAGTGGGCTTTACTGGCCTTATTCTCCTTCCACCTGCTCATATCTATTTTTCTGCCTAACAGTTTTATACACAAAAGTTGAAGTTAAGTTTAGATTTTTTAAAACTAATCCATGTTGATAAGTAGCTGTTTTTATTTGTGTAGCGTTTAAGATGTGAAGAACTTCATCTTCATGCAGAAAACCTCTCTAGGCGTGTATGGGAGCTACTGATGCTTCTTCCTACATGTCCTAACATGCTGATGGCATTCCAGAATATTTCAGATGAACAGGTGAGCCCACAAAAGCCTTTTTACTCTCCTGGAAGATAGTACGAGTTTACAGTCTTATTGGCAGTGTATGAGATGCTTATTAACCTAGATCCTCAGTAAAATTCTGTTGATATAATAGGTAAAAAGTGCCAGTTCATTTTAATGTTTGATTGTTTAATTATTAGTGAGGTTGAATAACATAGGCTAAGTATTTAATAACAAAAATAAATAAAGGATGTTTTCTAAAACTGTCTTTAGAAAATATGGATTTGTCTTTATATTAGTGTTTTCTCATATTACTTTGTATTCTGAATATTGCTTTGTTTTTAACAACATGAAATAATAGAGAAAATACACTGGTTTATTTATATGATATATATCAGTGCTTGGTTCGGATGCTATGCTATACAAGTCAACTGATAGAATTAGGGGAAAATGAGGCAAGGAAATTTAATGTATATTTGTTAGTTTTTCCATAGGGGCATGACCTCACGTGTGTGTTAGGATATCTTTGTAAAGATGTCTGTTAAAATAAGAGATTTAAAAACTACATATAATAAGGGATTGCTTTGTGGAGATACCAATAAAATACCTACTGGATGAATGGAAAAACAGTATCTTAATGTTATGCTAATGGTGGTTATCTGTGATTTAGGACATTGTCCTATGATTCAGAAGGTCGTATATCCCAAATGACTTAAAGTGAAGAAGGTGGGCCCGGAAAATAGTGCCTGATGACTCAGAGTAGCTCTAATGATAATATTGTCAAATAGGCATAAAAGTGTGAATAACAATAATATTTAGAAAAGTACAATATTTTAAAATTGATATATTTGCATATGACTTTTAATTGTGTAGGTGTAGCTTATAAAAATATTAAATACAGACTTCAGTGCTTGTCTGTCCTTAAAGTTCATGCATTCATTTAGGCTGCAATGTTATATTCATTGGGAATATAGTAAATTAGCTTATCTGTTGTGAAGGTTAACAAGACATAACTGTATGCCTAAGCCACTGTTCATGTATTTTTATCTTAATAAAATTTAAGAAATAATTGGTGTTTTAAGTATAACACTAATACCAATTATATAAATCATTTTCACATTTGAAAGTATTTCAATTTAAATGTAGTATTTGAGTTTTTATATAGTGTCAGTTTCTTTAACATTTTTTTGGAGTGTGTGTGGGGCCCCTTAGTAAGTTGGCTTAAGAAACCTATGTTTTTCTTTTTTCAACTTAAGGGTAATGATGGACTTAATTGGAAAGAACTTCTCAAAATTAAGAGTGCTCACAAGCTGTTATATGCCCTAGAAATTATTGAAGCACTGGGAAAACCTAACAGAAGAATAAGGAGAGAGTCAACGGTAATTGTGTTTCCATCATTATCATTACGTGTTTATATTATCTCTGGAGCAAAATGTCAGTGTGTGTTACCTTTCTATGGTAATATTTTTCTCTTGCCCCCTCCACTAATATTTTCTTCTTTTGCCATATTCCCACAGGGAAGTTACAGTGATCTTTATCCAGATTCAGATGATTCAAGTGAGGATCAAGTGGAAAATAGTAAAAATTCCTGGAGTTGCAAGGTTTGATTATATGTGTTGATAAAAATAATTTATCTCGAATTTTTCAGAAGTAGGTACTATAATTATTAACAGGTTTAAATTAATTTTACTATTAAAATAAAGCATATTTTAAAAGTTTTGCATTACTCCAAATCATAGTAGTAAGAGGAGATGATTTAATGCCTTGGTGCTCCTGTTTTTTGCACTTCCCTATTCCATCATTGGAATACTTTGTTAATACATCCCAGTGTCTCAAATTAAATGGCTCATGGAATATGAAGATACGTTTATAGATTTTTGAAAGAAAAAAGAAATTCTTGGAAGTAGGCTGTATGTTATTACTTTGTACACAAGTTACTTTGTTTACTTAAGGAATAATTTCCTAAATGAAAGATGGCTAATGTCTCACTTGCACACACACAGCCACTGCTTAGTCAGAGGCGTCTCTCCTGTGTGGCCGCGTCTCACCGTCACTCTCATGGTTGCTTACAGTTTGTTGCTGCTGGAGGCCTTCAGCAGCTGCTGGAGATTTTTAATTCTGGAATTCTGGAGCCCAAAGAGCAAGAATCCTGGACTGTGGTGAGAATTTATAATTTAAACCAATTATAGGTTTCCCAGTTTAAGCACTCCCACTTCCATAAGCAAGTGTAACATTGCTACATACTTCACTGTAATGGATGAGAGTATGGATTATAGTAGAAATAAATTTTTTTTTTAAAATAGGGAGTCTGCTAACTGAGGTAAGAGTCTCCATGCCACCTGTTCACAATTTTTTAAGTGCTAAAGTAATGTGACTGAACTATGGCTAGTTCATAAAACTTTTTTCCTTTAGGTTATTAAAGTATGTATTAACTTTTATACAGTCTTAAAATTTGGATGCTTTTTAAAAAGAACTTGGTTTACATCTTCAATTTTTTAAAAACATCCTTTTTCATTGTTTCATTTTGTTTGGTTATTTCTTCCTTTATAACAGTACTACACAAAAATGTGTTTCCAGACCATTTGTGAGTAGTCTGCAGAAATAGGTACGGAAACTGATAGTATTTCACAATATTGTTGGACCTCAACAAAGTGGAAGTTTTAAAATGGTACTGTACTATTAACTTGAAGAAGCACCGTTTTAGGAAAATAAATTGCTTGTGGAATATTAAAAAATTCATAATGCTATACCAAACTGCACAATCCAGTTTGAACAAAAATGGAAAGGATGCTCCATTTCCTGACCTCCACCAAAGCAGAATAGCATTATCAAACATTTCATTCAAATATTAATTTCTTAGTATGTGTTTTTTAGAATTACCTTGGAACCTAGGAGTCAGGTGTTCTTGATTTGATACCAAGTTAATACATTTAGAAAACATATTGCTATCTTCCAAGGTTTTGTTACTCTTACCACTGGTTTCCATCCTTTTTCCCCCACTTTTGTTTTTTACGTATTTTATTATAGGCATTTTCCTTTTTTAGGATAGATGTGTCTTCTGTAATAATGAATAATTATAGCTCAGTTTTATAATTCAAATGTCTGTTGTATTTAATTGTTAGTCATGTCTTTGTTGTCCCTCAGAACTGTAAAGTGGTTTTTAGTTCTTTGTCAGAGTGGGAGAATTTAACCTAAAATTTTAAATTGAGTTAGTATGTGTAACTTATAGGAATTTTGTTTATAAACTGCTCTGAGTTTAAAGTAAAATGATTAGTTTACAGGGAATCGTATGCTAAAGATTTTCTCTTGTTTCCTTTGAAATTGTGAGTACTTTTATGAAACATTACTATTACCACTACAGCTAGTAGTAATTGCTACCATTTGTGACACATTGTAGCCTAACAATGCTTGAGAAGCCAAGCATGCCTAAGAGACACTGGTTTCTTTTAAGTCAGCTGATATCCCCTATTTATAATGGCATCACTGTTACTATATTATAGATATTTATAAACTCAGAATCATTCTTGTTTCTTGACCAATTTTTTTTCCTTTAAAAAAAAATGAACTTAGTTGATATATACTTTCAAATTAAAATTTTTAGGAATATAATTCACATACAATTCACCCTTTTAAAATGTACAAATCAGTGATATTTAGTATATTCACTGGTTGTACAACCATTAACACTAATTCCAGAACATCGCTCCACAAAGAAACTCCATAGTCATTAGCAGTCAGTCCCCAGTTTCCCCCAAACTTCAGCCCCAGGCAACCACCAGTTGACTTTCTTTCCATATGGATTTGCCTATTACAGACACTTTGTGTAAATGGAACCATTTTTTCTGTTTCTCTCTCTCTCACATTATATATACTTTTATTCCTTTGTGACTGGCTTCTTTAACTTAGCATAATGTTTTCAGGTTTCATCCTTTAAAGTAGTACATTATCCAAGCTTTATGAAGATGAATGACTGTATTTTCTTTTAAGAAGTTTAGCTGTTTTACAATTTCAGAATTAGGGTTTTTCAATTTTAATCCTTAGACATTTAGGTCTTTGATCCATTTTAAGCTAATTTTTGTAAGTGATATGAAGTTGAGGTACTTTTCAGGCAATAATACTTTTCATGCATAATTAATGCACTTAATTTAAAAGGTATGATTCAAGTTTTGAAAAATGATATACTTGTATAATTCTCCAGCACAATCAAGATATTGAACATTTCTGTTTCCTCATCAGTTCCATCCTGCCCTCTTACAGTTGTTCCACTCTCCCAACCAACCAGCCCGTGGCAACTGCTGATCTGCTTTCTGTTGCTGTAGATTATATTTGCATTTTACAGAATTTCATTTAAATGGAATAATACAGCATGTACTCTGTTGTCTCTGGCTTTCATTCAACATGAATTTTGAGATTGATAAATATTGTTGATAAATGGTTGGTAGCTTTTATTGCTGAGTAGTATATCCATTGTATAAATCTATTTATACATTCACCTACTGATGGGCATTTAGTTTTCCAGTTTTAAGCTATTAAGAAAAAGGCTGACATAAACATTTATATACAAGTCTTTTTGTGTAGATATGTTGGTTTCTCTTGGGGAAATACCAGGTAAAGAAATTGCTGAGCAATACATTAAGTATAAGATTAACTTTTTAAGAAGCTGCCAAACTGTTTTCTAAAGCAGTTGTACCATGCAGCAAATAAAAGTTCCATTTGCTTCACATCCTCACCAACAGCAGGTGTGGTCAGGCTTTTTAATTTGAGACCTTCTAGTTAGTATATAGTATTATTTCATGGTGGTTTGCTCTGCCCTTCTCTGATGACTGCTGTTGCTGATGTTGAGCATCTTTACATGTGCTTATTGACCGAGCAGTTTTTTTTTTTAACTGTGGTAAAATACACATAAAATTTATCATCTTAACCATTTTTAAGTGTATATAGTTCAGTGGTATTAAATACGTTCACATTGTTCTGCAACCATTACCACATCCATTCTTATAACTAAATTTCATCTCATAAAACTAAACTCTATACCTTTTAAACAATAATTCCCCATTCTCATCCTCGCCCTAGCCCATGGCAACTACCATGATACTTTTATTTCTATGATTTTGACTACTCTTAAAATACCTCATATAAGTAGAATCATACAGTATTTGTCCTTTTGTGATTAGCTTATTTCACTTAGCAAAATGTCCTGAAGTATCATCCTTGTAGCATATTGGAGAGTTTCCTTCCTTGTTAAGGCTGAGTAATAGTCCCTTGTATGGATGTACCATATTTTGCTTATCCGTTCATCCTTTGATGGATGCTTGGGTTCCTTCCACATTTTAGCTATTGCGAATATTGCTGCTAAGAACCTGGGTGTACAAATCTCTTTAAGATCTACAAATTGCTTTCAGATCTTTTGGATATATTCCCAGAAGTAGAATTGCTGGGTCATATGCTAATTTTATTTTTAGTTTTTTGAGAAACTGCTATACTGTTTTCCATAGCTGCTGTACCATTTTACATTCCCACCAATAGTACATAGGATTCAAATTTCTCCACATCTTTGTCCAGACTTTTATTTTCTGTTTTGTTTTGATAGTAGCCATCTTAATGGGTGTGAGGTGGTATCTCATAATAATTTTAATTTGCATTTCCTTCATGATTAGTGAAATTAAGAGTCTTTTCATGTGCTTGTTGGCCATTCATGTATCTTCTTTGGTGAAATGTCTTTTCAACCCCNGGTTGTCTTATGCAGAAATTTAAAAACATTTTCATCAAGTCCAGTTTGTTTCTTTTTTTGTTATCTGTGCCTTTGGTCTCCTATCCCAAGAAATCACTGCCAAGCCCAGTGTCATGAAATTTTGGTCATATTTTTTTTTCTGAGAGCTTTGTTGTTTTAGGTCTTATATTTATATCCTTGTTCATTTTGAGTTAATTTTTTCATAGGGTGTTAGGTAAGGTTTGAACTTTGTTCTTTTCTTGCATGTGGACATCGAACTTTCCCAGCACCATTTCTTGAAAATACTGTCCTTTCCTCCATTGAATGGTCTAGGCACCCTGGTCAAAAATCATTTGACCATACATGTGAGAGTTTATTTTTGGGCTTTCTGTTCTCTTCCATTAGTTTATATGTCTGTTTGCCAGTACCACACTGATGATTACTGTAGTTTTTGTAGTAAGTTTTGAAGTCAGGAAATGTGAGTCCTCCAGTTTTGAAAACACTGTCCTCTCCCCCCTCTGAATGGCATTGGCAACCTTGTCAAAAATCATTTGACCATGTATGTGAGGGTTTATTTCTGGGCTCTCTATTCTATTCCCTTAGTCTATATGTTTATTTGCCAGTACCACACTGTGTTGATTATTATAGTAAGTAAGCTTTAGTAGCAAGTTTTGAAATCAGAAATTGGGAGTCCTGCATTTTTGATATTTTCTTTCAAGATTGTATTGGCTGTCTGGAGTCTCTTAAGATTCTGTATGAATTTTAGGATGGGTTTTTTTCTGTTTCTGCAAAAATCGTCTTTACGATTTTAGGGATTTCCTTGAATCTTTAGCACCTGGGATAGTATCAATATTTTAATAATACTCTCCTCTAGTCCATGAACATGGGGTATTTTTACATTTATTTATGTCTTTAATTTCTTTTAACAGTGTTTTATAGTTTTCATTGTAGAAGTCTTTCACCTACTTGGTTAAGTTAATTTCTAAGTATTTTATTCTTTTTGATACTATGTAAATGGAATTCTTCTTGTGATTTTCTTCTTTTAGTTTTTATTGTTTGTATATAGAAATGCAACTGGATTTTGTGTGTTGACTTTGTATCCTGTTACTGTACTGAAGTCATTTATTAGTTTAAAAGCCTTTTTGTGGTATCTTTGGGTTTTTTATTTACTATATTATAGATATTTATAAACTCAGAATCATTCTTGTTTCTTGACCAATTTTTTTTCCTTTAAAAAAAAATGAACTTAGTTGATATATACTTTCAAATTAAAATTTTTAGGAATATAATTCACATACAATTCACCCTTTTAAAATGTACAAATCAGTGATATTTAGTATATTCACTGGTTGTACAACCATTAACACTAATTCCAGAACATCGCTCCACAAAGAAACTCCATAGTCATTAGCAGTCAGTCCCCAGTTTCCCCCAAACTTCAGCCCCAGGCAACCACCAGTTGACTTTCTTTCCATA